GCTTGGTGTAATAGGTTGTTTTTACTTAAGTACGGAGGCCAATGCCTCTTACTAAGGAATGAGCTAAGATAAACCCCAGAACACTTGCTCGTTCCTCAAGGTTTCCAAGAAAGCTTTGAGGCTTTAAGAATGTACACCCGAATGTTGTTTTACTAGCCATTGACCCTTACAGTAAGAGTCAGACTCAATAGTCAAAGCTCCTGTTGCCGTTTACACTGAGACAATATCTTGCGAAAGAATGTAGCCTTGGGGTATTAGTTAGGTATATACCTGGTATAGGTATATATGGTATCCCAATGTACAAGAACATGCAACAAAAATATTTGTCACAATTCTTATTTTACTTGAAATATTTTTAACCAAACTTGAAGGATGCTTTCTTGGTTTAATTGGTACCTGTATGTCAGAGTTTCTGAAGACAGTTTAGTTTTTTTCACATTTGCATACTTGAAATGTGCAATCCAGGACTTACTACAAGCTCTAACTGCAAAACGACACCTTCTTGCTTGTAATGCTAACCACAGTGCCATGTGTAATGAATATAGAGTGAGTGATAATGTGACAGTTAAAGTGTGGACACACGTACGGCCTGCTACCCCCTGTCTTAACTGTTGTCTGCCAATGTTGCAGATTTCCGAGAACTCGCCCTCATGTAAGGTCATACAGCATTAACCTCAGCACCAAGGTCAGGAACATGCAGGCCTCTCAACGCTTAAAGGCATCCACTGTAATTTCAGGGCAGCAAAACAAGAAAAATATTCTGAATGAGGAAATCTGTCTGATGCTGTTATGATGTCTGATTATGACATAACTGCCATTTCTTAGCACATTTTGGTCATCATTTTATTCTTGAAGCATGTTAAATAGCCCAGAAACATGCTATGTAAGGAGTCACTTTTGGTACCACCAATAAATAGCTTGAACCAGCCAACAATATGAAATATGGAACCACTTTCCATCAGCAACATTGCAAATTTTTTAGCTTACTCTAGTGTATTGATATCAGTATGCTATTGGAGAGGTTTGATTCAACTTATAATTAATATTGCATTAAAAAATGAACAGAAAATTGGCTTTAAAAGCCAGTTTTATTGCGATGAAGTTGCTTCGGGTGCCTTCAAGAACTGAAAATGAACTGTTTGTTTTGATAAGGATTGCTACATTCTTGTCAGAACAAGTGCATGGTATTACTTGGGATATAAGATTAGCTCCATGGATTTGTGTGAAGCTGAAGTTGTTTTTGCAGAAATTACAACAGGACTTTGGGCAAAGAACATGGAAATCTGTCAAGATTCTCTCTTCCTGTTTCCGTCATATTTTCCTACTTAGGGCCCAGTAGCGGATCATGGGGAGCAGACGAAAGCTAAAAAGGCTGACACTCAGGCTAACTATTTACAGGATATGAAAAAATTAGTCTTAATATCATGAATTATAGATTAGCCCAAAAGTATAGAATTATTACAAATTTTGGCAGTGCCTAGTGAATGTTTGCAGTTCACAGGCCTTGTTGTCATTCATGAACTCTAATTCACTTTAAGTGCATGTACCGGTATATTATTTAGTGTCATAGTTTTTCATTTTGAATAACAAAACTGTTCAAGTCATGATGATTAAGATAGAAGTCATCAGATCAAGCTTGAAATTTTATTTGCAGGAATATTAATCAAATTGCAGGTATAATTTCTTGCAGTATTCCAGGTGACAGAAAATGGAGCTAATCGATATACATCCGTTTAACCCTGTAATTATGGTGGAAATTGTTATTTTCCCAGTTACATAATGTCTGATGATATAAACATTTGGTACTCACTGAGTACGTGTCATCAACAGACACTGTTGTGAATATTCCTATAGTTCCTGGAAACCAGGAAATGCATATTAAAAGCTTGCAGCAACTTGGATTTTTGTCATAATTCCTTTGCCTCTATGAAGTGATGTTGAATACATGTCATTGTATATATTTTGATATCTAATTGATTTCATAACTGAACTGAATTGCTGCATGTGGGATGTTGTAAGTGCTTCATTTTGTTGTTGAGAAGCAATTTCCTTGTTGTGTTCATGGATGACGCACATTTGACATGAGGACAAAGAGTGGTGTGGGAGGGGGTAGTTAAGGTACATGTAGAGAGAAAAAAACAACTTTTGAATCGGATTCCATATTTGGCAAAAATTTGGGATAGAAAAGGAGAAAGTGGACTGATTGTTGAGAAAGGACAAGATAGAATAAGAGCTGTTTACCTGGTTACATCAATTATAAACCTCTTGAGTCTTCCCTTTTAAAATAGCCAATTGGCACAGCCTGTGCCTGTACAGCCTGTGCCAAATGGCTATTTTAGAAGGGAAGAGGTTTATAATTTCAGCATTTGTGTTGATGGTTTAGGCAGCACGAAGAAAGTAAACTTTATATTTTATTAGCATGACATTGTTTTTTTCAACTATAACATTATGCAAAAGATTGGGGAAATATGAATATTAATCCTTAACAGAGCCAAGTGTCTAAGAATCAAAATATCATCCAGTGTAATGTCTCCTAAATTCCTTTATCCATTCTAAAATAACAATACTAAAACTGAATACTTCCCCCTGGGCCCCTTTTGAATGTCAATGTCATCTTAAAGACAGGAGATCGTAAAGAATTCCCTTTGAAAATACGTGCTGTATATATGCATGCCGAGTATCCGGGAGCATTAAGTCCTAGACAGGCTTTGCCCAGAAGGCCATTACATGTTACCTTCCAAGTACAAGGTCACCAAAACGTGTCTGAGCCTTCTTGTTTGATGAATTGTTGACAGCAACCTTAAATTGTTTTGTGTATTGAAAATGTATTTGCTGTACAATATATTTGTTTGAACCTAGCATCACACGACTGGAGCTTTCTTCTTTTAGGATTTCTTGGTTTAAGATCTTTTAGTTCAAGTCAACAGAAAACGACAAATAATAAGTAGAGGCAATAGAGGACTTTGAAGATGAATTTGAGTGCTTTTTTTAGCAAGAGTCTCAGAATAGAATACATGTTTTAACTGTCTCCCTGCTGCCTAACCCCTTAACCGGTATAAATTTGGTGCCAAAGGCAACCTTAGCAGTATGACGGTTAAATGTCATAGAAAGGTGGAACATGTTTTTACTGGTCCTGCTCTAATATGTACCAAAGAGCACTTAAGCTTTGTAATTTGTAGCCATCTAGGTGAACCAAGTACAGACAAGTGTCCCGTACTGAATACTTAATTTGCTGCGACTAGTTCAGGTCAATATCGTACTTGACGTCATAAACGCGATGAAAAATTAATGGCGTTACTATTTGCATCTGACCTTTACGCAGTGATAGTCTGAGGTTTGCAACACGTACTAATATTACACGATTATATGAAGTCATGATCATATCAACATGTTATATGACGTTTCAAACGTGATGAAAAATTAATGGCAGGACTATTTGTGTCTGACCTTTTGCTGGCATTAGATTTTTTTTTAGTTTGTGGTTTGCATTAATATTCATTTCACAAGTATGAGGTCAGCATGCTACATGTACATGATGTCATCTTCATGTTAAAAAATTAATTAGTAGTATGGTGTTACTATGTAGATGTATAATATTATTGAAATTTGCTGTATGGGTAGTTAATGAGCAACAGGTTCAATAGTTATAACTAAAACAGTTTTAATATTGATGCTACGTTTTGTATACAGTATGCACTTTCTCTGATTATACATGTATAGTGTGCACCTGTGTTTCATTCACTCATTTTCTATTTATAATGTTTTTGTAATTATATTTTTGTAACATTATTACCTTTACCAAGAAGGTTATGTTTTTGGTGCTGTTTGTGTTATGAGTGGATGTTGTGTTACTTGGTCTGTCGGTCGGTATCAGCAAAACAAAGGACAATTTTCCTGGTGGGCCTCCTATCGTCTTTCTATTGTACTGCAGCAGAACTGCCCTTATGCCCTGAACAATTTTCTATAATCAAATTGTTTTGTCAAGTAGCTCATTAGGACACTAACAACAGGTGGTGTTGGTTTGGACCCTCTGGCTGCTTTCCTTGGAACTGCAGGGATATCTTTGTTTTGGAAGCACGCGAGAATTTGATGATAGTAGGGATGAATAATTTTGGACTTCATGTATGAAAATACCAAGTAAAGCTCAGAACACATAGAACTTCCTTGTGCACAGATGTTACAGAACCTTGAAACCAAACAGGAAGTGTCCAGACTGAGTGCCATTGTCATGGGTACATACCTGAGTGTGTTTTGCAGTAAACACTCTTCTTTTGTTACCTTCAAGTAAACAAAAGAGCCTCAAAGTTCAGCCATGCCTCTACTGTGTCTGTAATGTTAGTAATCTCACAGCAGATGTATTTGCCAGCTTTGTATTATGGGCAGATCTTGAATTTTATTCTGTTCTGCCTCCATGAAGAGTCAATTGTACTATTATAATAAAGTCATTCAAAATGAGGCCTGGATTAAAGTTGTATAGAAGATCACAGAGCCTGGTATAGACCTATAGCTAATGACTGACCAGAACTATAATTTAATCCAAAATACGTAATAATTCAATATCTCTGTCTTCTGAAGGTCGAGCCACGGCCATTAGGCTTAACTCTAGAGGTGTTAGGGCTGATGAGATTGGCCCCACTAAGACATGGCATTTCGTTAAGCCCTCTCCAATACATTATTTATGCAAATTTCCTCACCCTCATTCTTTGATGATGGTTATGTTTGAAAATGACCTAGATGACTAAAATGATTTTTATATGTTTTTGCATTGGCTTATTGAATCGTTAATTGAATCTTATTGCATTTCATTACAATTAATACTTGTATTATAGATTCATCAGTTGTTGCCTTTCCTGAAGAAGATATTTGTACCACTCATCAATGATGATTTTCAATTCAGTTATAGGATTAAAAGGTTATGAATGAATTTCATGTTTTTGTATGGCTCAAATTTAAAACAATATTGTTTTAACAAAAATTCCTTCTTTCCTCTTTCTTCACAGGTCGCTATCAAAATTATAGACAAGACACATCTGGATGAAGATAACTTGAAGAAAATTTTTCGTGAGATTGAGATCATGAAGCAAGTCAAGCACCCACACATTATTAGATTATACCAGGTGAGTTGGTAATCTTCACATGGGTACTGCATGATAACTAGGACATCATCAGAGCCTGAAATTGCTCCGAAAGGGAGTTTTCCTCTAAATTTGTACACCCCACCCCACCCTATAGCTACACAACATACATGCACAAAATATTGCCCGTGCATGTTGCAACAATTGAATTGAATGTGGTATGATAGATTATGTAAAAAAATGCAAAAAAAAATCTTTTACCACATATGCCAGTTTTACCACATATGCATGTTGTTATTCAATTCCTAATGTATGAAAATGAGCTCCATTTGTAAATTGTAACCCTTAAGGTTCTAAATACCATGAATGGTATTGATTGTGTACTTTTCAGTAGTAACGGTGCATTGTATCACCACCAAAATTAGCTCAATAGAAATAACTATCTTTGGTTGAACTGGTATGACTGCTAAGATCTGTCAAAAATAACTTTCTGAGGTCTCTTACTAAATGCAAAGATTATGCTCTAATTTGTGGGACAAGAATCCAAATGATTTGCAGTACACTCGATTTCAACTCCTTTCATGTGAATACCTGAATTTTCAAAAGAGTCATAATTGTATTGATGTAAAGCCTTTGAAAGCTGGCCATTCAAGAATGTATTAAATGCAAAATAATCAGTCAAGAGTCAAGCTGTTGTTCATGTAATTAGGACAGATAGAATATGACTGTGCATCCCTTGTATTTTTGATGTAGAGTAGATTAGTAGTCTATTTGTCTGCTTGATGGATTGTTTTGTTCTTTACAGGTTTATGAGACAGAAAGAATGATATATTTGGTAACAGAGTACGCAAGTGGCGGAGAAATATTTGGTGAGTAAAACCTTCATGCAAAGACATTGTTCTCTATTTTAGTTGATTTTTATATAACCATGTATCTGTAGCTTTTCTTGTATCATGACATGTGTAATGGTGTTATTGATGAAGAATTGTGATATATTCTTATATATAGTCATGATAATTTCATAAACAAAAGAATATTAATATGGCTATGGTTCTTGGCCCTTGCAAATTGTAAAGCACTGTAACTATTATTAATATTTGGGAGGTCTATTTCTTCTTCTGTGAATATTTCACAATTTTACAGTACATCGGAAACCCAAAAAATTAATGTCTATTTTTCAGATCACCTGGTGGCCCATGGATGGATGGAAGAAAAGGAAGCCAGAAAAAAGTTTAAACAGATTTTAACTGCTGTTCACTACTGCCACAAGAATAACATTGTACATAGAGACCTGAAGGCAGAGAATCTTCTCTTAGATGCCAACCTAAATATCAAGCTAGCTGGTAAGTTTGGTATCTATATACATGTATACATTTAAGATAATGATAATTTTATCCATATTCATCCTCTTAGGGCTGGCCAGACAGAACAACAGATCTGTACCTATGCCAACTAGACTGGCAAACTGAACACTGATTTCTGGTACCAAAATTTTGATTTCTGGTAGACTGCAAATTTTGACCAAACAGGGAATGTTCCTGTTCCTTCTGATGAAAACAAAAACACACAAAATTTCAAGGAAAAGGAGAATTTTCAAGTATATTGTTTAAGTCTATACACTAGGTATTTCATTTTTGGACTACTCTGCATGGCAACTGAAGTATGTATCACATTGTGGACAATTTTAGAACAACAGTCTACTTCAATCTGTATTATAGATACATGCTTTTTTTTTCTAAATATTATATAACTGCAGAACATTTTCTCTCCTTTTTTATGGTGACCTCTTCAGATTGAAGCCTACTTTGTTTCATTATTATTTTATGACTTGTGTACTTAATAAGGACATCAGATCGTAATCATCATAAAACAAGCAATTTAACAGCTATAAAACAGAGCGCCCGGGCAATTACTAAAATGTTAATGAGTTCATCTCAGATGTATCTGGGAGATGATGGCATAGAAAAATGATCAGATTACATGACACTGTACATGTACAAACTTTCAGAATAAATGCAAAAGGATTAAAGTTAGGGGTGAATACTAGGAAGACTGTTTCCCTGTTAGACTAATGCCATGTAATTTTTATTATCGATGTCTTCTTTCTGGCAACTATTTAAATTGCCTTCTTCAGAAGGTCTATGGAATTACTTGGCTTTAGTGAGGGAGACTGTGAATTTAACAGCATTACTCTTGAAGGCATAGTTCGATGTTCATGATTTTTGGCAGGCAGGTTACCATTGGGGAGACCAATGTCAAGTGCAAAAAGGAGCTTCGTGGGGGGGAAGGGTCCCTACATCACTGCAGTGGACCTTTTGTGTTTGTCGCTTGTTTAAATTTCAATGGATCTGTATTAATCTGAGGCATCTCAACTGGGCTCTTCTCTGTCATAAAATCAGATGTTAACCACACATGCATATGGTGAAGACATACCATTTGTTATTTTATCTGAACAGGCCTCTCTGTTTCTTTGTCTTTTATATATAGAATATTGTGTCATCATTTGGCCATATTTTATTATGCCAAGCATTCTGAAATGTTCTTAGTTTTAGTTGTAGTAGTAGATTCCCCCACGCATGGTCTTTTTTCATCTTCTTTAGTGTCCAAAAGGAAATAGAAAAATGCAATAATCCGGCCATAAGTCATACATACGTTCTGGAAGGTTCTGAGGTGGGGATTAGTTTTGGTATTAGTAGGTCATTGACCCCATATATAACCTTTCTGCTACAGTGTATAAAAGGAATATCGCGATCCGGTATTATAAGACACACTTATGTTGGGTTAAGTTGTTTGTTCGCACGGTAGATTGTTGACCCCCACACATGTAGGAAGCTTAGAGGTTGTTAAAATTGTCTTCCCTTTGATGATTACGGCTCCATTTTTATTCTGGAATAGAAAATGTGATTTGCCTAGCCTCAAGGCAAACTAGCCGTATCCAGCTCTTTATAGATCTACACCTCATGTAATTTTTGTATTCGCTTGTACATGCCTAAGATAGAACTTTGGAATCTGTGTGTCTGTCTGTCTGTGCATGTGTCTGTTTCTGTATATTCATGGTAAACTTAAGATTTAGGCCTTTATGGATTTGTGATGATATTTGGTATGTGGGTAGGTCTTAGGCCTCCTGGTGGCTGACCTTGGTACTTCAGCTTTGTATCTTTTGTCTTGGATATGCTAATTTGCTATGGTTTAAATTTTTTTGGTAGCAGATAGTTTTTTGTGTCTGTGGTGTAGGTTTGTTTTGGAACTGCAGGTGAGTTTCCACTATAATGTTTCACAAAGTGAATAAGTCCAGAACAGAGCAATGGATTTTCATGATTTTTGGTATGAAGATAAATAAGACAGTGATGCAAACCATGCAAATGAGGTTTAATTTACATCATTAATTAGGAATTCTTACTAGTGTTTTGCACAATAGGACTATACTGTATATACGATGTATAGTATTATTACATGAAATGTTTATAACCTGCAACAGTTGGAACAGATCTGAATCCTTGTTCTAAAAAGCAATTCAGCTGACCAAGTATGTAATGTAGGTATGGAACCACACGACATGTTTGTAGATCCGAACAATGCTTACAAATCAACACTTCCGTCTTTCCGGGAATTGAGGTAACACAATCCAGCGTCTTTAGTTTCAAACACACCGCAGGACTTTGTAAATTCTGCTTCTGAAATAGGTAAAAGTGGAGAGACAACGTGTGGCCTTGGGCCCACAGATGATTGTGTTCATCCAATCTCCTCCCCGCAAACCAACTTAGGCTAATGTTTCGCTGCAAAGTGAAATAACCCAAGGGAAGACTCGCACAAGACCTGTGCAAGCACAGGGGAGCCAGGGTGCTGAGTGATCGCAAACAGCACGTGATTCATGGGTAGATGATTACCACCTCAGTCAGACAAACAGCACGTCGTTGGTGCGCAGATTCCCGGCTCAGGTTGATGTCTGGGAGGGTGTTGACACAGGCTCCCCTGTCTGTCTGCGTCCACATTACAGTGTCTACACACACAGACCAGACCTGCCATGGCCCTTGACCTTCCAAATAAACTCGGGAATTGAGACGTCAAGATTTGGATAGGTCGCTGTATTCTGTCTAGAACCACGGTACAGAAGTAAGAACTTCAGCAGTGGAGCATGCCAAGTTGAAGTGTGCAGTGCTTTTACAGTTGGTGTTGGAATTGAAACAATGTCAGCACCAATGCTACCGAGTACCCTAAACCAGCATGAGAACTTAGTTTTAGCATTTGGGAAGTCAGAACACAACTTTGCTAGTGAGCACCTTCAATTTCATTTTAGCCAGGCACGGACACACACACATATCTAAATTAGAAGAAAATGTTTTGCTTAATTAGTGAATACTAGTTCTTCTCAGTTTTTCACTGGAATCCCTTAGATTTGATTCCACCAATATTCAGCCCTTGCAGGGACATGATTAACGTTACATGATACATATACACTATGATACATGTATTGATATAATAATGCCCTCCATTTCTGCAGGCAATTTTACACTGTAAAGATTCTGACAGCCCCTTTCATGCCCTTATGCTTAAATCTTAATGATTATAATAAATATACATAAAATCTAAAAATAAATATAGTACATATTTGAACATTTCCCTTGTATAAACTGACCATGTTGCATTTTGTTGTTCCTCTTGCAGACTTTGGCTTTAGTAATCACTTCACTCCAGGCCATCCGTTAAAAACGTGGTGCGGCAGTCCTCCGTACGCGGCGCCCGAGCTGTTCGAGGGCAAGGAATACATGGGTCCTGAAGTGGACATCTGGGTAGGACTGATAAGCACATAGTGCCGCATGTTACATGTTTATTGTTAACTGATAACTGAATTTTGTATACAATACAGTGTAGGGTAGTACCTAGCTTTGCTAGCACGTACATGAAAGCTATATAAAAAATTATGATATGCAGGTAGAATGTGTGGTCCAAATGTGATTGAAAATGAACACTTGTCACATCATCATGGATTGTCCAAAATGTAGTGATAAATTCACCTGTCTCTCCACCTCTACTTTTGATTACATACATTGTATAGTAGAAAACCTTATGGAAGCCCCTGTACTTTTGTCAATGAAATTGATATTTTTAGGAAAAGTCATTACTTTGTAAGTCATTAAGAGTGAGAGTTGTGAATAAAACTACCAGCAAATTAAATTAGAAAAATTTCCACAAAAAATCAGTTAGGAGAGGCTGCACTTTGCAGAAGTGGTGTGTAATGTTATCCTTAGGTGCTGAAAGGTTTGATGCCACTGTAGTCTGGCATTGGTGCCGTTACTGCCATGATGGTAATTACACACTAATTATGCCACTGATCTCTCTAAAGTCCCAACCCAGCTATATATACAGATCCAGCATCAATCCAGCATCACACACAAGCTTCGCAAGGAAGGCCATCTAATTACAATAAGGCCTAGCAAAAAAAAATGTGTTTCCTGTTTCAGTCCTGAAAAAATTAGTGTCGGTAGGTAGGGATTATCTTTTTTGTTTTAGGCTTCAGTGATATCTATATAGGGGTCCAACTTATACAATGCAGTTTAACAAAGTAAAACTTGCATGAGGACACTTTTATTTTCAATGTCAATGTTAGAAAACAAAAATATTGTTTTGTTACTCAGGTGTCAGATCATGGAGCTAGAAAAGATATATAATATAGGGTTGGCAGATTTTTCTAGGATCGGTCAGGAAACAGGAAACACAACAGTTTTTTTCCTAGGCCTGAACACTAATGCGATGCCTGTTGATTGATTCTTGTTTCTGGCTTACAGAGTCTAGGGGTGGTGTTGTACGTCTTAGTGTGTGGAGCCCTTCCATTTGATGGGAGCACGCTGCAGAATCTCAGGGCAAGGGTGCTGGCCGGGAAATTCCGCATTCCTTTCTTCATGTCAACAGGTGGGTGTTCTGTCATGTTCTGACAACTTGAGGAATATCTTAAAAAGCTTGGAAAAGACTAAGAGTCTTGTCTTTGTCAAAATCAAGTCATTGTTTCTCAAATTTTATTAGGTCGAAAATATGAGGCTGTGATGTTCTTGTTACACAAGCACAATCTTCTGACCTGCCAACATTTTATTAAGTTGAACTTGTCAGCTGCCAGAGTGTGTAAAGCATCCTGGTACTGAAATGTGACAGATGAGAAAATAATGCTTGTGCCAGAAAAAGTTTTCTCTTGTGCCACACTGTATACGTAGCATGGCCATAGTCTAGTGGTAGTGGTATGGACCCAGCCTTTAGATCCAGAGATTGGGAGTTCCAATCGCAGCTGTCACCCATCTGACATGCACACATGGATGGAGTTGAATGTTAAGCATTGGGCCACTGTTAATTGTGTTCTCTGACACAGTGAACCTGAAAGTGTTATATAAAATAATTGTACATATCACCTCTCTGTTACACCATGGCCAGTGAAAGATTAACTCTTGAGTGAGTTAAATAAATCTGGTTCAAGATCACTGCCTAATCACCAGTGCTCCCCTCCCCCTTTTTCAGAATGTGAGAAACTAATAAAGGGTATGCTGGTTCTGGACCCTAAGAAGAGACTGACAGTCCAGCAGATCTGTAAGCATGAGTGGATGGTGATGGACGAGCCTGACCCGGAGTTTAAGAGACTAATCCACAACTACAGTGACGAGGAGCCGGAGCCCAACAGCGAGTACATCAGTGCACAGGTGCTGCAACACCTCAGTAACCTGAACATCGACAGGGAACTGGTGCTTCAGGTGGGACACTCCATACATGTATCATTCTCCATTTAATTTGTATTTATTTTACCAGTACTGTAGATCTGTATGGTCAAAGAAGAAGAACAGTAGATCACACTCAGGTCTGTTCTTCAGATGTCCCTGGGCAAATACACTTGTTTCATACACAAGAAATAAAACAAATTTTTTTCTTATGTAGACATAAGTTTTCTTACTTTTCTGTGGAGTTGGTAAAGTGCATTTTTAACCCCTTTTGTACAATAGGTCAACCTGCCTCAGCATTTCCCTTGAGTCAGTATATTTTGGTATTTTCTGAAACCTTTTTGTACATAGTATTTACATGATTCAAACATGCTTGTTTACATCCCTCCCCCAGTCGGTAAAGAACAAGCGTTATGACGACCACAGTGCAATCTACCACCTTCTGTACGACAAGTTCAAAAAGAACCCCAAACTGATGCAGAAGGCAAGCCTGCTGACGGACCCCGCGCTCCTGACGCAGTACAACAACACGGCAATGTCCCTGCCACAGCAGCTGTACGAGGACAGCAGCGTGGGACAGCTGACTGTGCCGGGAGCCAACCTCCCACACATGCAGATCAACAGCCACCATCGACAGGTTGGGGCTACATTTTTAAAAATATTTATTACAAGACATGACTCAAGTTTTTTCAACTTTTTGCCGCCATCAACGCAGACAAACGCATGAATGAACAGACATGCTCATTTATGTTGTAACATGATGTTTTCTATGATATCTGTATCACTATAAGCCTTCATTTCCCTGGCAGGTTGATATCGCAGGAGAGGGAGACCAGATGGAGAGTGACACAGAAGAGCCGTCACCGGAGGCACTGGCCAGATACCTGTCCATGAGAAGACATACCCTGGGTGTGGCAGATCCAAGGTACTCTTTCAACATCCCAAGTCTGTGTATCTGTGGCTGCACCAAAATGCCTTAGTTTGAACTTTAATTCTGCTTAGTTGTTGTATAATTGGCTTAAGATCCTTTGTTTTTTCCAGACTTGAAGTAAATAGAATAAATGTAGGAAAATTCTAACTGCAGTACCAAGGTCAATTACCAGGGGCCCAAAGTCAACCAACACAATCCTCTATAACCCAACTACTGGTACCCACCTGCCAAGTATCATCGCATTCCGACTGACAGATCTTGAGATATACACCAAAACATCATCCAGACTGAAAACAGTACACACCATGTAAAAAGTCTTCTTGACACTAAATCTTTCCTCTTCCCCAGAACGGAGATCCCTGCGGAGCTGGCTGCCAAACTGAAGCAGCCCAACCCCACGCTGCCTCAGCAGCAGCAGGCGTTCACCCACGTGATTCCTAACGTCACGGTCGGCCAGACTGCCGTCCCCAACATTCCTCAGGCCCTGGCACAACCCAACCAAACTGTCCACTATAAGGTATGTGTACTGTTTAAAACTGGACGCACTGTAGATAAGTATTGTTGGAAAAGTTTGAAATTTTCTCAGTGTTATTGAATTCAAGTTTTTTGCATTGATCTCTCGTAGCCAGTAAAACAGAACAACACTGCAAACTCTTGACTTGTGCTGCGAAATTTTAACACAGCAGTTTAAGAAATTTACAATTATAACTTAAGCTGATCTTTCGCTGCCTGTCCTTTACAGTAAGATCCTACATGTACTTAACTGTAGTCTCTTGAAAACACACTAAAACCATCTCATTCCCTACATAATGTGTGATCATTCTGTTGCTGTTGTTGTTCAACCTTTTTTGTTCACTTGTTCACTAGACTGCTGTACCAAACATTCCGCAGGCTCTCAACCAAATGGTTCAATATCAGGTACATGTTACATTTGGCATTAATAATGTTGTCACGGTACAAAACAGTTACAATTGGTAGTTTCTCTCATCTCTATTTCATGTCCTCCTTCTGTAATATCAGAAAAAGTTTTGATTTCAATGGATTGTTAATAAGCACTACCATAAATCTAGAAATCCAGACTAACCCCCCCCCCCCAACCTTACCCTGTGTCACAGGACCAGAACCTGTTGCAGCTGCCTGACATCCGTGACATGCCGATGGGCAGGCGAGCGTCGGACGGAGGCGCCAACATCCAGCTGCACGCGCAGGCCTTACTGACCCTGCGAAACAGCCAGGAAGCCTTCCCTGTAAGTCTTATTCAGTATCAGTATTTTGTTGCACAATCTAGAATGCAACGCATCATAATAGTAACATGTGTTAGTCTATAGTATCATGTGTTCCCCAGAGAGTAATTCTGGAACCACTACTGATGGTAGTAAAATCGACAGCTAAACTGCATTGTTTGCTACTGTAAACAAGCAGGTTGATGAGTGTTCCGCAAGGAATTATCATGGGACCACTATTACTACTAAATGAAATAGACAATGATCTTCAATTTGCATTGTTTGCTGCTGTAAATGAGCAAGGGTGAGGCTGTACTTATGACTGTTCCACAAGGAAACTTTCTTGGACCACTACTGTAAGTGTCACAGTGAACTACTTTTACTTACATGTAGACGTAGACAGTAGTTTTCTATTTGCATTGCTTGCTGCTGTAAGTAAGAAAGAGTGCTGCTGTACTTCCAGGTGTCCCCCGGGCTTGTCCCACCTAAGATTACCCCGATGCCGATGTTGCAGCAGACCATCCCCATGATGCCTCACGAGGAGGACGACGATGAGGAGCCAGATCAAGAGGCAGTTAGAAGGTACAATCATGTGCATGCAGTCAAAAATATGGCAAAATATCTGTGGTCATGTGTTGCTTTTCTGAATTTCTGTGCTTAACATTACTTGTCGTTATTGCATTTTGAAACTTAAAGTTGATAGTCATGTCTGTTATACTATTTAAGTTAGGTTTGACTTTATCCGTTCAGTTAAGTTCTGGCTCCCTTGTTGACAGATACCTGATGAACCGTGGGAAGCGGCACACGCTGGCTGTCCCTGACGCTGTGCCCGTGGAGCTGCAGGACAAGCTGGCCCAGAGGCCGCTCAAGCCCCGCGGCGGTCTGCTGGCCCCGCCACACAGATCCAGTATGTGTGGATTTCTTTCTTTTGTCTTGTGGGAATTGTTCTAAGGACAAACAGATGTTCACTATCACAGTCATATTCACTTTTGGAAGATTGAAAAATTTGTGGAAGATAGCAAAATTTGACCACAAATTATAAGGCTTGCCCCAGAGGCATCGTCAAAAATGCTACCTTTATAGGAGCGCCATACTGTAATTGTGTCCTGCTTTAGTTGATGGCAAAACATCATAAGTAAATGAATTAGTGACAAATTCTCAGATATTAAAAGTTAACAGAATTTGATCACGCTGCTATACAAAATGTATGTTTTTCATGATTCAGCTCCTGTTTGATTTTGAGGGATATTTCTGTTGAAGTCATGTATGGCTTTTCTATGTTTATTGTGATGATTGTTGTTGACACTTCCTCCTGTTTGACTGCTGCTGTGTATTGTACAATTTTAGGTGGCAGAGATAGTTACAAGGACGTCCACTCGTTGCACCTCCCGAGTGAACGGTACTCCCCCGTGAGAAGAGCGTCGGACGGCGCGGCCAGTCTGCACGCGTTCAGGGCGCATTTCGAGAAACTGTCCAGCCAGGGCAGCGTCAGTTCACAGAAAAGCAGCCTGAAACAGCTGCAACAGGTGTGTTGACTCAGCTGTGGTATTTTCTTTTTATCATTGGACATTAAGTACACTATTTAGTTTGCTGAAGTACAACATGTAGGATTATTATGAAAAGAAACTTTTCTCCTTTGACAATGGCTGCTGCTGTTAAAAGCTTGCTTCAGAATAAGTTCTACCAACACAGATTGATGAACGTTCAAGAACGTTTAGGTAGAATATCTCATTGCAAACCACAGACACATACAGAGTTAGATGGAACTGAACAATGTCTTTATCAGTACATTATGTATGCAAATCCTTGTGCTATATCTTATCATAATGTTTGAAATGGGATGTCCACTTTTTTTAGTAACTTAATGCATGATATTGCATTGTTTTCTTTAACAAACTAATAATAAAGCTTAGAGAAACATTGATTACCTGTTCTAGATATTAAGTAAACTCAATTAGGTAGGCATGGCCCGACAAGTCATGTATACACCTGAACTCCTCTGAAGCCAACACGTACTATATTCTGACCTTGATTGCAGGAGTATCAGCAGCTGCAGCAGCAGGTGGGCAAGAGTTCACGGCAGCAGCACCCGCAGATCGCCCAGCTGCAGAACAGCCGTCCGTCCCCCCAGCCCTCCCCTCCCCTGTCTGCCTCCCCCACCCTACAGCAGCAGCAGCAGGCACAGGTTCACACATGTTACTCAACAACTTTAAAGTCTGGCTCTGTAAAGCCCTTTACACGTACATGTACAACCTGCAATTTTTTTAACAGTTACTGTCCAGGGCTCGAAATACTTTTGTTTTCATTGTATTACATCCACTGCTCTGCATAAAAATAGATTTGATTAAGTATGTATCAACGTACAAACAGTTAAGAAACCATGGAATTCTTTATCTTGCATTTCACAAGTGGTAACAACTCAAATCATCAATACACCAAGCAAAAAACACTTGCACACTCCACATGCAGGTGGTTTTTTTCAAGCCCTGCTGTAACAGTCGTAGATTTGGGAAAGGTGAATTTCAAAGGTGTGTACTAGTTGTAGTCAGCCTTGTCTTCTTATGTTCTGGTAGTAGGAAAGCGCATGCAATATGTCGTCCAACCTAAGAAGTAGAGAGACTAGTCTTGCATGGTTGGGAAAAAAACAGTAGGATTTTGGTCATGCCTGTTTATTTGGATTGTTTACCTCAGGAAATGCATCCCAGCCATCTGACTCAGCATCTCCAGAGACTGAATTTGCAGAGACAGTGCAACAGTCCTCCTGCCTTCCAGCACCTGCAGGTATGCCATGCCCCCCTCCCCCTTTTCTCACTCTGTGTGTTGCAATTTACATTTGTGAGGAAGACAGATGCTTTTGCTCTTGCATAATATATACATTGAACTCTATCTTTCTGTCTGTCATTGAAAAACAGCTGTCGTAGTTTTCATTTGTTACAAAGAGTTTTGAAGAACCTTGAAGATAAATTTTTATGTCCTTTCCAGCAACAGAACAGAAACAGCCCCCCTCCCACCTTCCCCACCACTTCCCACGCCCTGCGCCAGGGCCTGACAGACTCTCCCACAAACCAGCTCCACACTAACCCCTTCATGAAGACTGGTGCTGCCAGATCCCCCATGGACGCCCCCCAAGTGTACTTCCCCGAGTCCCCAAACCCCTTCACCAAGCGGGAAGGTGTCTCCAACTTCCCCCAGTTCACCCAGACCACGGGGGTCCCTCTCAGCTCACCCAGCGGCTACCGGCTCCAGAAGCCACCTGCGCTCCAGACGAAGCCAATCCCAGAGGTTAGTGCCCCTGGCCTTGCCTCGTTTGTTTTTATTTGTGCTCTCCTTGTCATTAATTTGCTTGTTTGTTGGTTGGTTGGTTGACACTGATAATTCCTGTTGGGAAGGTAGGCATACAGAAATAAGACATGTATCGTTTCCTCTCGTTCCCCCTCCAGTTCTTATTATCGTGGAAAGTCTTTGTTTGCTATTCTCTTCTCTTGTATGTTTAACTTAACAACTTATGTACCTGTATTTGATGTTGAACATAGCTCTGGCCTTTTGAAACTTAAGTCAAGCAACTACAAGCCATTCTTGTGAGCAATTGTACCCCCCAAATACATGTACATGTATCACAGTCCTTGTTGTACCAACGCATATTCAAATACCTGAAAACTGCCCGTTGAACAGAGTCAGGCGTGAAATTAGTGTGAAATTTGTTTGTATATATGTGCCTGCCTACCTCCCCAGCACCACATCACTGTGGATGCTCACAATCGCTCTGTGTACTCACGGGTGCGTCCGTGTACGTGGAAGTAAAGCACTGTGACCCACGATATCCGTGTGTGATCTGTGCTCGATCTACAGTGTGGTGCGATATTTTCTATATGGCATGTTGTCTTCACTACTGAGTCTTTCTGCACCTTCAGTCTACCACACTGCATGTCTTCCTCCCGTCGGTCTAGCTGACTGCTGTGTGTCATTATTGCTAGATAATTTATACAAGTGTAGACGAGGACGAGGAACCCCGGAAACAGGGCGAGGAGCTGGAAGCTTCGCTTCCCCACCGTCTAGCACCTTCTTTGAAGGCATGTGTGCAATAGGAAGTATCTTTCTTAAGTATCTCTCTTCACCTTACTGACTCACTATACCTACTCGTGTAGACTTCCCTTTATAGTTACGTAGGCCTGAGCCTAACATGTCTGTAAAACCCACCCCATGTGGACTAAACCTTAACTTCTATACTGGGCCCAGGGAAGTAAGGTTGTTAACTGTGGTGTCTCCATTGTCTCTGTGTTGTGGTACTCATTGTTGAATGGAAGGATCTGGAAGGGGTTACTGTGACTCTCATCTTTCACTTGTCCGGTCATATCCTTTCTATATGTCCATAATTGTACTGAGTGTGTACCTCTTGGAAACTGGAAGTAAAATGCCTTTGAAATTGTTAGGGCGTTTTTGATTTGAAAACCGTTCTATTTATCTGGCATGTAAAAGATAGCCACCAGAACTGAGAGCAAAGGATTATTTATCAAAAATACATCAGCAAAAAGTTTTGAAGGGAAAATATTGGCCATTCAACAGTTTTTGAAGGGAAAATATTGGATGTCCCATTAATATAGTTTTTAAAGGGAAAATATTGGCCATTGAATATTTCCTCAAGGAACAGTATTGGCTATTCAATACTTTTTTGAGGGAAAACTTTGGCTGTTTAATCTTTGAAGGGAAAATATTGGCTGTACAATAGTTTTTCAATTGACTTGAATGTGGGTGACTGAAACGAAACCCCTCATGTCATCACATCAGTTAGATGGCTTCATCTGACTGACTCCTGCTACCAACTAATAACTTGGTAATACTGATGATGTTCAAATTCCATCATGCATGATCTTCCATCGACTTTGGCCATCCTTTTCTTATCTTCAAGTGACTTACAGATTGAACTATTTGCCATTGGTACTATATCCAAGATTGTCTGGTGCATTGGCTACAAGTGATGTGAGCTGTGTTCTATTCCTGATTTGAATCCCCTGTACATCCCAGTCCTGTATTCCAAAATCTTTTCTTTCTGTCATCTATTTGTCAAGGAATAAAATACATTTTTATTTAGGAGATGGCCTTAACCTTGGACATTGTAGGTTATTATGTTATAATTTGCGCAGAATGTATATTTTGTTACTTTGTCTGACATCCCCGTCACAATTTAAAATCATCATGTTATAAACCCTTCCTGAGCCTTCCATCATGTGGTGTTTTCATTGTGGCTACCATGTATGTCATTCCATTCAAGAGCATTCAAACAAACTTTTTTTGGCAAAGCCTCAGTGGCAGAGCCTTATTTTTCAAGATTGTACTTTGGAAATGTGTTGAAAATAATTGCTGTTTTTTGTTTTTTGTTTTGGTCTGCGTCTTTTTTAGTACTCTATGCAGCATGCTTTTCCTTACTTTCTATGTTTTGTGTAGGCTGCTGTTACAGTAAAAGCGTTCATTGAATTCCTTTTTAGAGGAGAAGATCATGATCAGCAGCTAGTGTTTGAATGCTCTGAACATGCCCTGCTTTTTATGGTGTCTGTGAAAGGTGAATGGTGTTGGCAGACTTCTGTCTTGCCTTTCAGGCGTTCTCTCAATTTTGCCACTTTTCTGATTCTGTCTGATGTTTTAGGAGCAAGGATCACCACAGGACTCCCCTGTGCACCAGCTGGACTATCAGGAGGCGTTTTCGCAGGCAGAGCAGCGGAATGACAGCCACGGGCAGCTGGCCCATGACAGCTACCTGTTGCAGGAACAGCAGAGAGTGGACAGCCAGGGCAGCTTTGACGGGTGTGATGGGGAGCCCCCGCGCCCCAGCAGTGCTCCGTCTGTCACCGTACCGCAACAACAGCAGATATTCGACTTCACCCCGCAGCAGTTTGTTGGAAATAACAGTTCCATGATGGACGGCACGTTCCCCCTCACTTTCTCTCCCTCAGTAATGACGTCAACCGTGGACACAACAACCCAGCAGACTGCAGCTGGTTACCAGCATGCGTTTCCCCAGGCGATGGGGTTCGCAACATTTCAGCCCAGCTACGCTCCGACGGTGCAAAATGTGCAGATGAACTTCCAACCCATCCTGCAGAGGACTTGGCCATTTCCGCAACCCGAGATGCAAAACCCGCAGCGGCTGAATTTCTATGGACCAAATCAGGGGGTGTTGTTAAACCAGTTAGGCCCTTCACCGAACGTTGCAGGGTTGAACGCCATATCTGCATTAGTGGATGATTTGTCGGTTGGTATGGGACGACAGCGACCACGGTCTGCCGTGACGTCAGAGACGCTCAGTAGGTTTCAAGTCCCTGGCAGTCCCTACAATCCAACGAACTTGGCAAGCATTCCGTCAAACTCAGAAATGGAGGGTTACCTGTCAGATGGTGCCGGTCACGACACGGGAATGATATCTAATACGATACCGTATACAAACGCTTCCTCTATGGACAATACGCCGCTGCGGCCCGCCAGGAACCACCGCAGACACCACACAGTACAGTCAGGTCAGGACGCTCGCCTCCAACAGAGCCAGATGCTGCAGAGAGCACAAAACAACCACGGAACAATATTCACAGTCAACTCACAGAGCTCCTCTAGTAACCCTGGACTGAATCACGGAGAGGCGACCATGCACTCACAAACCTTGCTCGTGAAGACTCCCTCGGATTTGGCAAACTTTGTGACCACGTCCCCCAGCGTGTCGACCATGACTAGTATGAACATCCAGGGTGGTGGAGTGGGAGAGTCTCTACCTCAGAGTCACAAGATCCCCCCCTCCGTCAAAATGACGTCTGAGAAGAATGTCGGGGAGATTGTGCAGGAGGTGAAGAGGATGCTGGACAATAAGGGGCCATCGGTGATGTACACGCACCAGGACTGCCTGTTTGAGCTGGAGAAGGAAGGGGTGAGGATGGAGATGGTGGTGTGTCGGGTCAACTTGGGGCTGAACGGACTGTGTGTCAAGAGACTCGCAGGCGACACCCAGCAGTATAAACAGTTATGTCACGAGCTGCTGACGGGCATCAACCTCTGAGTTGTGTAGTAGGACGGGAAAGAGCGGAGGCTGGTAGAACTTTTGTATTACCAGACTAGAATGTCATAGTAACCAGCTAGGAAGCTTTTTTCCTCCGTCAGTACAATGTATTATTGGAGAAAGTACTCAGCATGTTTGACAGGGTTTGTTAGATGTTGATGGATATTTTTAAAGAGAAAAGTAGAATGGAAGGAAAGGTAGACAGAGTGACAGTTGGGGAATGCAGCGACCTTGAATAATGTTCAACGGTTTGTTGGGACCATTCAATGACAAGCAGAAGAGTTAAAAAGAGAAATACGAAGAGAAAAGATAACTCCCAAATCTGTTGCCAAGAGAAATCTTGTAAAATGTACAGTGAGTGTAAATTGTAAATTTTCTGGTTTTGTATGATATATATAGAGAGCCTGCTAAGTTTGCTGTGGGAAGTGATGTGTAGGTATCCAGCTATATTCTCATCCCATGTGACCGAAAGTTCTGTATAGAAATCTCATAACTCACACATAGAAGTAAGACAAGGAAAAAGATTCAAACTGATGTAACTCTATAAGAATTATCCAGCTAACAAGAAGGCTTAACGATATTCACCATGTAACAGTCCAGATACTCTCACCACAGTGCCATTGCAGACAAGTGCCTCAAACGAAAAAACCAAGTCAATAATAAAGACAAAAAACATAAAGTAAGGGGGCAAGCTTTCTGTTACGCCAGATTGGTCACTAGATGTCATTTAAATACTTTTGAGTGGACCAGGAGCTGTCAGATAGATATGAAAATACACTGGGTAACTGTAATGTAATTAATAAGGCTTTTGAAATCTTTAATTAAATTAATATTGATGTACATTAAGCAGTTAGGTCCTTGGTGCGTGCCAGTGTGTGCTGCAGTGTACGTACATTGATGGCCAGTTTTGATACATGACAGCTGGTGCCCACAACTCAAGCAATACCATTGCACATGTCATATTTCTCAGATGAACCCAAGTTATGATAGAAGAGATGGGTTCATCTTGACTCTGTACTCCCCCCCCCTCCCCTCCAAAGCTGCTTAAAGAAACCAATGTGATGGGTGCTGTACTTTCTATGTGTAGATAGGGTTGTTGGGTCTTGTGGGATAAGTGACTATTGAGATAACTATTTTTGTGATGCCTCAGTGTAGTGGTAAAAGAAACTAGCATCGGGAAAAGGAAAACCTACCATTGTAAGACTCTATGTTGGTAAGTGCAGAAATAACAAATATCAGTGTCAGTGTGTGTGGCACAGTACACCTAGAAGGTCTTCCCCTAGTTTTACATTTGGGCCTTTCAGTTCATTCAAATTATCAATATTTAATAAAAAAAAAGAGGCTACTAGTTAGAGATCCAGCCAACTTCCTTCACGTTAAATTCAACGGTCAATAGAAATTTGCCAACAGTAACCATTTGGCTACCATCAAAAGTTATACTAATTAAGAAACAAATTGGATGAAAAAAGGGGAGGATTGTTAACATAGTTGTATTGTGTCACCACAATGTCTGAACTGAGTTTTGAGCCCTGTTCTTCATATCTCAATGTTTATTTGAAATATTATGTGGACCAGACTGTCCTATTCTTTTGTACATTCTTGCAAAATAGTGAACCCATGTGTCTACCAGGACTGAGTACTTGTTGTGAGACAGGATGCAACTGTTTTTTGTTGTTCCCGTTGGTTGTTTATTTGGTTATAACGGTTGGAAAAATGTGTGCTCAGTGACTATCGTGTAGTAGCCATTCTCACAATGATGTTTCTTACAAGTTATCGGTCGAGTGTATCAGTTGTTGTAAGATAACTTTCTAACAAGAACTATTTGTCAGAAACCAGTTTACACAACGTAACGTAACACTAGAGCGGGAAGGAAACTAAGACAGATGTGCAACAATGTCACGATTGTAAACAACAAGGTATCAGACACATGTAGGACATGTTGGCTGTTATTTCTGTGGCTATTTTGTTACACATATCCGCTTCATGGATAGTCCTACATACAGTATGTAGTATATGGCCACACGGGTGCTGGTTCCTGTTATACTTACAACGTCATGTTACAACGTCAAGTTAGTGCCCTCTGTGAGATTGTACTGTGGGTTTGGCTCCAGGTCCTGTAACGTGCCCCCAACCATGCAAACGTGCCCCTTACCGCCTGTCTTCTGTACAGGGCTAACTATGTACAGCACCTCTGTAGTCTCTTCACACATACAGATCCAGGAATAGTCGACTCCCAGCTAGATAACCAAGTCCACAAGATGGATGCCATATTTTTATGTTTTGTACATTGTACTTGTATTTATATATGACTCACGTGAGACTAAAACATCTGACTATAGTAATTGGAAAGAAAGATGTTTCGTTTTTTTCCTTTTTATTTGCTAATTTATGCATCAGTACATTCAGTGTTTTTATGTCGACTGTACTTTTGGTTCATGTAACATTAACGTTCTGTGTTGTGAATTGGCTGGTAGGTATATTTTGGTGCATCAGGTGAGGTATGCAGAAATTCTTTCACGGCTTTACACATGGTAAAATAAAATAAAATAAGATAAAAGGTTAGATGTCATAGATAGGATGCGTAACATTATGACATGGCGCGGGTGATCTTTGTCGAAACCTCTTTGTCTCAGCTTTGAGCGAAGTTCGGAAAAAAATGTAACAAATTCCCTGCTGAGGGTTATCTTTAAAATGTCTGTTTTACTCAACTAAAGGAACGAATGACTGAAACCAGCAGGTTCAAATAACTTTGTAGACCTTCGAATGGTCACTATGGCAAAGTTTTACAATGGTATTAACATTTCAGAATTGTTACACTTGAGTAGACATAGTACAAAACTTCAGCATCTGAAGAAAATGCAATACTTCAAGTTGACATAGTTTTTTTCAGGCAGCTGAGGCAAACGGGTTTCTAGAGAGCCCTTGTCAACACAGTCACATTGCCCTTTCTGTTGCAAAATACACAGTGGACAATTCCAACAACATCCCGGGATGTCTCCTTATTTTGAGTCGTTGTTGAGTCTGGTTGTGTGCCTGAGAATGAGTCTGAATGTGTTAACCGACATGTAGCATAATACACAGATATTCATTTTCACATGCTGTTACACCAACATGGAAATCAATGCACCGTGCAATTTCAGTGAATCGTACATGAAAGTGTTCTCAAACACCTACACTTGGGAGTTGGGACTAGAGACCTACTATCCCTCACAACTCTCACGTAGCCCCTATTAGATGTAAGCATGACTGACAGAAAAGGATACCAGGAAAATACATAAAACACAACACAATGGAATTTAAAAACATGCATTTATTTAAGTTTGAACTGTGCCATTGAAATGCTAGTCAAGGACACCAACTTGGTGGACAGCACTTGCCATGATCTGCACAAATTACAAAAGTTCATAAATAAGGTAGTACGTGTCGTCGCATATTTTGCTGCTACATACACCAAGCGAACAGAAGTGTTTCAAAATCGATTCATAAATAATTTTTATTGTGTTTTTTGTTCCTTGTAACTCTGACAGCCCCATTGTTTCTGGGATTCATTAAGTTCTAATGTTGTTTAAAATGGAGAGAAAACATGTCCTGGCGAAAGCTTGCACAGATCATCATGCACAGATACGTAACTGTTTTGTCATCAGTAATTCAAAAGCTCCGATCATAAGAAAATTCTGCTCATTTGTGGGACGGATGTTAAAATATTGATTACACCAGACATGTATACTGACATTGTCCCGTTGAGACTTAAGTAAAAAAACTATTTCAAATGTTCTGAACAGTCACCTCAAACAACCTATAAAAATCGGGAACTTCTGAAGTTGATGAGGCCAAATAAATGTCCAGTGTCATTAAACAATTGAATTTGGACATTCAGATCTACTTGCTGTGCTCGAGTCCTTTGTCTTTCTATTCCCTTTTCTCAGCAGGACTCGTCGTCTGCATCGTAGTCCACATTTGATGCATCATAGTCTACATCCGCAAGGTGTCGCTTGGCGCACGGCGAGACCTCGCTGTCGTCCTCCTCCCTCCGACGCTTCGGTCTGTGCAGACAGCCGTCCATGTAGATCAAGTCCACGGTCTCAGACCCTCCTGCCGTCTCACACCGCTGTTCCCCTCGGGTAGACCGCTTCACCACGGCTCTTCTCCGGCCGAAGGACACGGTTGGACGTTCGTTGGACGAAGTGTCCGGAATGACCACGTGGTTTCTGCTAGCAGGTTGGACCGCACGGATGGTCATTCTGGCCGTGCCTCTGCACCTGGCCGAACCGCTGGACTCGGATGTCGTCAGATCGGCTCCGGAGTCGTCCGAGTCGCTGTGTAGCGCCGGAGAAGCGGACAGACCCGGCAGGAGCTCTCTCCTCACAGACGACCTTTCGCCTCCAGCGAACCCAGGCGTCTGGGCGGTGTTGGCCATGGGTTGAAGCGGGTTGAACTTGACGTTACCCGCCGGCTTGCTGGGGAAGATGGACATCCGGGCGGTCTTTCTACCCTGGTAATGCTGCCACACCAGCCCCCTAGCGACCCGGTCGTTCAGTTCAAGCACGTATCTCAGCGTGTACGCCTCCATCCTCTCAGACTCTGTCACCCGTCTGACGGTAGATTGACGTGAATCACAGTGAAACTCAGCGACAACTCAGTGTCAAGATCAGCCGTTAACTCTGGACGGATCTGTAACAGAAAGTCATTACTGTCCACCTGATATCACTCTACGTTATTCACAACTTCAAACAGCGCAAAGAAAGGTGCCGGATAACAAAGATTGGGGGAAACTCGAGAGGACAAGTTAAAACAAACCTCTTTTTTCAAGATGGCCGACTTCAGTGTGGAAAAAGAACCAAAAGAACGCAGCGAACGTTCTATTTATCGTCACTTTATTACGCCATTCCATAACAACAACAACAACAACAACTAGGGAAAAGTGTTGTAGAACGGCTTGCAGACATCCTAAAGTTGTTTTGAAGAAACACTGTACCATATCATGGACACATATTCGGTAAACAACAAAAGTACTTCGATTCCCTGCATAACTTAGGTAGTTATGTGGTATTTCCTACCACAGTGAGTATGAAAGTGATATAGAAACGACTACTAGACTTTGGTTTCAGATTCTAAACGTTATTTGTGCTGCCGTTACAAACAGCCATCCGCTGCTGTACACTACGCCGTTGTCCTTGGTGCTGAAAACCATCTACTAGTATTCACAAACGTAACTGCTTCCCTTGTACACATATATCGTCACATGCGTTACAAGAATGGTGCTATTCACCCGAGGCTCTTCCATTTGTTATGCATATTGTTGTTTGTGTGTGAATGATATTAAGCACCAGAAACAGGAGTTTCTGTGTAAATTATAATAATTCTGATAATGCTATGATAAGGTATGTTATCTCGACTAGTACTTGTAAAATGGTAAGAAGTTATGCTTATATTTAACGCCAGATGGGTCTTTACATACACTAGAAGAATTTTCGATACTTGTTGATTTTTAAGTTGACAGTGAGTGGTGACAGTTGTACAAGAGGAGCAGTTTGATGTGAAAATTGGTGGTTTTCAGCACCAAGGACAGCCAATGTACAGCATCAGACGAATATTCATAACGATAGGACAAGTATGTTAAAGTTAAGAATCCGAAACCAGCCTTAAGAGTCGTTTCCATGTTACTGATACTGACTGTGGTAGGAGTTACTTCTTCAGGTATGCAGTGTTTTTTTTTGTTCACCGAAGATGTGTCCATGGTATCTTAGTAAATTCGAAGTCGATCAACTTCATTCAGTGTTTTCCCCAAACAACATCAGGATGTCTGCAAGCCGTTCTACAACGCTTTTCCCTAGTTGTTGTTGTTGTTGTTATGGAATGGCGTAATAAAGTGACGATAAATAGAATGTTCGCGGCGTTCGCTTGGTTCTTTTTCCACACTGAAGTCGGCCATCTTGAAAAAAGAGGTTTGTTTTAACTTGTCCTCTCGAGTTTCCTCCAATCTTTGTTATCCGGCACCTTTCTTTGCGCTGTTTGAAGTTGTGAATAACGTAGAGTGATATCAGGTGGACAGTAATGACTTTCTGTTACAGATCCGACCAGAGTTAACGGCTGATCTTGACACCGTGATTCACGTCAATCTACCGTCAGACGGGTGACAAAGCCTGAGAGGATGGAGGCGTACACGCTGAGATACGTGCTTGAACTGAACGACCGGGTCGCTAGGGGGCTGGTGTGGCAGCATTACCAGGGTAGAAAGACCGCCCGGATGTCCATCTTCCCCAGCAAGCCGGCGGGTAACGTCAAGTTCAACCCGCTTCAACCCATGGCCAACACCGCCCAGACGCCTGGGTTCGCTGGAGGCGAAAGGTCGTCTGTGAGGAGAGAGCTCCTGCCGGGTCTGTCCGCTTCTCCGGCGCTACACAGCGACTCGGACGACTCCGGAGCCGATCTGACGACATCCGAGTCCAGCGGTTCGGCCAGGTGCAGAGGCACGGCCAGAACTGACCATCCGTGCCGGTCCAACCTGCTAGCAGAAACCACGTGGTCATTCCGGACACTTCGTCCAACGAACGTCCAACCGTGTCCTTCGGCCGGAGAAGAGCCGTGGTGAAGCGGTCTACCCGAGGGGGACAGCGGTGTGAGACGGCAGGAGGGTCTGAGACCGTGGACTTGATCTACATGGACGGCTGTCTGCACAGACCGAAGCGTCGGAGGGAGGAGGACGACAGCGAGGTCTCGCCGTGCGCCAAGCGACACCTTGCGGATGTAGACTATGATGCATCAAATGTGGACTACGATGCAGACGACGAGTCCTGCTAAAGGGACGTTAAAATGGGACTAGAACTGATTGTCCACGTGTATTTGATATGAACCTGGCGGTAAGAATTTGCCCCAGAAAATTTGAGGGAATATTGAAATCTATTTATTATTTTTATAAGTTCCTGACAAAACTTTATCGGGACGCAGCCGTACAGAAGACAAAGCCGATGTCTCCAACAATTATTGCAAAAGTTTTTACATGCGTGACAATGAACTTGACAACTCTGGGTATAACTTTGAATTTACACATTCAACGGTGACTACAGTGTATAGTGCAATCTGCAACCCGGCCAACCTGACCAACCCACTTGTATAAACCATTCTTTGAAGAAGATACTGTACAAGTCCTTTCATTACCTGCCTTGTGTAGCTTTTGTAGATCACTACAACATTTACCATTCCGAGTTAGGAATTTGGCATATGGGTTTTGTTTCAGAAACTTTTGCCCACTATGCAATGAGGGCTTTAAAATGCGCCACCATGCGGAATTGAACATAAGTGCAGACACTGACTTTTTTCGAAGTATACTTAGTTAGTACTTAGTACTCTAAAAATACATCTTCTGTTAAACAGGGATATAATCTTAGAAGCTACTAGTACGTTCTGCATTATGATGCCCTTGTGACAATCGGTCCGTACGCATTGGCTGTCTTTTCTTCCCCAAATCCTTCTTTGAATTGGTGGACAACAAATCAGGAGCTGCATATTTGTAACGTTGGATGACCTTTGGTGACCCTTCCATGCGGACGCGCCGAGTGCTGAGATACAGCACAGTTTTGGTTCGCAGAAACAGAAGATGCCTCTAGTTTCACGGATCATCAGAGGTCTGATCAGAGGTGCAGACAGAAGTAGACCATGGAACAGTAAAATGGGAACAAAATACAACAACATGGGTGCGTACGCTCAGATTGATTTTGTGGTAAATATTATGTGGGGAGGGGGGCTGGTTTTAGGTTGCCAGGCCTCTCATAATCAAAATTTTATACAATACAAGGTTATATCTGCCCTATAACCTCCTTGATCAAATCATATGAAGGCCAGAGCAAGTAATTTTTATGGATGACATCAGCGCGCTTTAATTATCGCCTGATTTTGGAAAAAAAAATTGCCTTCTGACTGTGGTCAACATGCCGAAAATGGGCAAAGATGTCTGTTGCCATGCTGGAAGGTGGATGGCAGATATCTATGAAGAGAGGAGAAAAGAAAAGGCTCTGATGTAATGTTTTGTTTCTTACTTTGATGCAGTGATATGTGATGCTGACTGTGTATATGTGATGTTCCTACTGAATCAAAACCATTTGTACAATGATGGAGTCAAAATTTTAAATTGTAGGAACCTTGTTTTTTCCAGCCCACCTTGGTTTTTTATTCCGCCTGCTTGCATTAGATTTGTAGTCTGTGGCGGATGTCATCCATAAAATTTACTTGCTGTGGCCAAAGCTCACCATTGTTTGTAGTTAATTAAGTAGATAGATGAACTTAACTTTACTTTGTTTCAACACATAAAACACCCATTATATGTGCCTGTGTCTTGGATATATTTTTTTCATCATCATCGATCATCATGTGTATTTAAATACGTTCAGCTACATGTACTACCATGTTATGTCAAGGACATATACATCGATATATGTTATAACTGTGCACAAAGTGAAGGCTTTGGTCTTAATTGCGATAAAAAACAGAAAAAGTCAAGTGAAAGTATAAATTTGTTTATTTCATTTGATTAGAAAATTCAAATGCTATCCTTGAAAAGAAAAGAATTATTCTTTGATAATAAATATAATGATTTGTACTTGTAGGGAGAGGTGCACCTGAACTGGTCCAGTTCAAGAAAGGTATGAGGTTTGGTCCCTTTTTCAGGTAGTTTTGTAAATTTATGATTAATCATAAATGGAGCTTATCAATCACTGTATTGTTTATTGTAGTAGCCAAAGATCAAGATGTGATTTAAAAAAAAAACATGAGGACTCTGGCATTAATGTACACTGTGCTTACGTAAGTTTTCTCATGGCATTATATTGCAACATGTAGATTACTTGTATCAAGGACACAATGTCCTTGCTTGTATGTGTCCTCAAAGTACTCAGTTGCAAATATGGGTAATTGTTGATGTCCATGTAGTTGAAACTAATTGTATAGGGATTCAGAAACTTTTCTTTTTATGTTTAGGCAAGAGGATTGTAATGAGGAATTACATTCCACAGTACATATTACCTGACCTGACAGGATTTGAGGTAAGCAACTTTCTGATAAATCTCAACTTGAAAATGTAAGTAGTTTAAACTTACTAAAAAGAGTGCTGTTATCAAATGCACACACAAATACACACGCGCAAGCACACACACGTAAACATGCATCAATGCAAACACACATATACATGCAGGCATGCACACACTCAGGTAATGTACATTTTTATTTTATTCACATTTATTTTTTTCGAGGATTGGGCAAAAAGTTATAAAACTTATCTCAGCCCTCTCCTCACACATAAAAGGAAACAATAAAACAAAGTAATAATAAGAAGAAGAAATGACAAAGGTACATAATGAGCTGATGTACAAATCAAAATCAGTCAACTTAATCAAACAAAACGTCCTGTCTGCAAAATGAAGTTGAAAACCACATCAAATATTTTACAGTTGTTGACAAACGACAATGAGGGGTTACCCCTGAGAATGGTTGAACATAAGGTGTTGTCGGTGACGTTGTTTGTGTCAAATGGCAGGATGTTAGTTAGAGATGATAACATGTGAATGCGTTCGTCAGTGTAGAGTGGGCAGTGTAGGAAGTAGTGTACAGCTGTTTCGTTGGAGTGACCACATTTGCACGCAGGACTGGGCACACATTGATGTTGGAACATTGAAGACACACATCTATATTGAAACCTGAGTCTTAACCATTGTCTTAATCTAACATTGCTGTAACTTTGCTTTATTCTTCAAAGGAGGCATAAGGATTTGATGTGTATGCATGTTGCTTTTGCCACTAAAATAGCTGCATTACAAAACTGTGCCTCTCACTGTTCCAGCTGAAGCCGTACGTTACCCCCAAAGTTCCCGAGGTCCACTGTGATCCCGTCACACCGAAGGACATTTTTGACGTCTGCTGCGCTCCGGAAATAGAGGCACAGTTCAAGGAAGGGGAGATATCAGAATGATATCATATCGTGAATGTAGAAAATTTTGTTTTGATCTGTCACTGTGAATGCAGGAGATTTGAGGGGAGGCACTAGAACTGACCTCCTTTTGCAGTTGCAGTACCAAAGAATACCTAAATAGCCACCATCTCATCATGTCCACAATGTAAAGTAACTACTAGTATTGTATATAAGAATGATAGAATTTGATGGCACACTGTTTTTGTTTTTCAGAAAACATTGTAAGTTTAGGACAGCAACTTTGTGTTTTGATACCGAAGTGAAAGCTATATATAGTTTATGTGTATATGTTTCTCCAATGGGAGATCATTTTTTTACTAGAAAGACAAAGAATGTGTATTGAAGAGCTTAATTGTCTATTCAGTGAATTTTAGTCACATAATATCTAACAAAAAATAAAATGTTAAAAGGACTTTGTAAGCAATTATTTCTTTATTCATCTCTCAATCACAACATGAATCACACATTAACTTAAGAATCACAGGTAAGACAGAAGACTTTGTAATAAATGGAATGTAGAAAAATAGTCACTAATATTCTTTGATATGCTTGCAGCAAGTCTACCACAAATAGTTTGCAGTTATAATTAGTGGTCATTTTTCTCAGTAAAAGATTGCAATTTTAAAGATAACATGGTACATTAAAATGATGTACAGACAACAAGAAAATAGAGATTTCTTTCTCTACACATGGACCTATTTTGATGCATTATATGCATACCCCTGATTTGGGTATCATTAAAAGGACAGAATATAGCTTTCTACAAAATCCATCATTTACATTTGACATACAGAGTGACTTACATTTACAAAGAACAACAATGTATCACATAAAAGTTTTGACCAAGATGACAGTAATAAATCTCTTTCTATAGTATGCATTCTACAAAAACCTTTGATTGAATTAACACATTGGCAAGCACTTAAATTTGCACACAACATACACTATACAACATTCAATTATACGTAAAAGAATTCTTTGTACAAGAATATAAATACATCTAGCTCTAACGTAATGGTCTCATTTACTGTTACAGTAGAGCTTATGATGCATAGCAGCTTGGTAAACCAGTGTTTTATTGAGTGTTTAGTTACTGGAAATTTGCACTTCACAAAGCACACTAGTCTTGGGATAGACATTTTGTAGTCAACAAAGACACTGGTGCCATCATGGCAAAGACTATACCTTGATCCTCATCACTATTGTACCTAGATAGCACACAGGTATGCAAGGAGACAAGTGTTTGTATTAAATTGTAGCTGGAGTTCTTACAGTCGATCCTGGGGTGTTGTTTCTCGTATCATCTTGGAGAGACGTTGAGCTTGCCGAGCCACTCCTTGAGATCCATACCCCCAGCACGGAAACTTAAGGAACAAGACAAATCATGCACACATCACTAAATGTAACAATTTCCCTTGATAATGTTATCATCTTGCCCCAAGCAAAGAGCAAAAAAAAGCAAGCAGCATTTTAATGTTTATAATGTTCACAAAACATTTTCCTGATGTTTACTCGTGCCATGCAGATTCAACACTTACCGGGTAGATTTGACCACACAGCAGCAAGAAATAGAGACAGACCATGTTAATTGGTTATCTACAGTACTGCAGAAATGTATATAATTTTCTTTACATTTGCCCTCAGCAGACCAATTACATGAGTCATTGAGTGTACAGTTTTTCCTTTCTTGCCTAATGGCCTTCCTGTTTCCATAGCAGACCTTAATGTTATCCAAGGAGGGGGTACTAACCCAAAATACCATTAGTACAGTTTGATTCCAAACTGCCATTAACAAGAATTGGTGAAGGTTATTCACTTTTTCAGGATATTTGGAATAGAAATTCTATTTCATATGATACAGGGAGGGGTTTACTAGCCCCAAATATACTCAGTATTGAATTTGGTTAACAGGAATTTTGTTAACATTATCTACTTTGCATTGGATATTTCAGACAGGAGGTCAACATGATTGATTGACATGTTACATGCACATCATACCTGTCTGGATCTTCTAGCTGCCACTCATACTCATGTAGGTCCTCCATGTCTTCATCCAACTGCTGGCCTAACTCAGTCAGTACCACATCTACTGCCTGTGGGCATCAGTAATGTACATTGTGAGTGATTACGTCAAACTGTACAGTTCTACCAACCAATGTTCAAACACCGTCAATGTCAATCAAGTTCTTGACCAATCAGATTATGATACATTTTGTCACTACCGGTAATTGGTCAAATGGTACTACACCCCATGTTGTAGTACAATGTATTAGAAAGCTATCAGTATTAGCAAGCTGGTGTGTTACACCGCAGGGCTGTTATACTGGCTATACTGATACAGAAGCTGTGCATTAAGTTTTGATGACATATGGGCATATACCCTTAGCTACTGTTTTTCTTAGTGTTTTGGAAAACAAGCTTAAGGTGTAGCAGCTCTCTTAAACATAAAACCAACTGCTTTAGATATCATTCACTAAGTAACCATTAGTAACTAACATGGGAAAATGAAGAGAAAGTTGTGCAACACGTACCGTGTCAGTCACGACTTTCTCGTGAAGTCGTTTTGTAGGCCAGTTATCCAGCGTGAACTGTCGACTGTTTCTGACCATGAAGTACTGTTTCAGTAAGTTGTCCAGAATGATGCCTGGGGAGAGAATCATATTGCCAAATGATATACAGGTAGATGACAAACTTATGCTACCAAAATTTGTTTTGGAATACATACTATTAGGTATACTGCATGGCTGAATAATGGCTAAAATATAGTTGTTTTGTTTAAAAAGATTACATGTTAACAGAAATTTATGAAGGGGGAACTTTTCTAGTAGTCTATTCTGTGCTACGTACATTAACATATAGAGAAGGGCTGTCTTATTCTTCATTACAGGGTAACTAATAGCCCCACCATTGTCCAAGGTACTCTATGAGTCATAATAAACACCCCACTTACCCAGATGGCATTTAGAACGTACATGTACTAAAATCAATGGATTCAAACCATACATCATAGGTACTGCAAAATACAGGGTTGGACCAAGGAGGTTATTAGTGGGACAAATTATTTATCCCAGTGGAAAAGTCTTACCGTCCAGAGACTTGAGTGCCAGGTCCTCTCTGCTCATGACTTGGCCGTCCCTGGCAAACAGGTTCAGCAAATGGTGGAGGAACACCCCGTCTAGCAGTCTCTTGTTGGCACGGGAGGCCACCTAGCCACATGCAAGCAGGATAACAAAATTAATGCTTTTTAGTGGTATACAGTACATACAACATGCTACTGTTGAAACGTAAGAAACATCAACCAGGGAGTGCAAGAGTAGATGTGAGTCACAATATGAAGATGTTCAGGCAACACAGGAAGGCGAGAAATCTACTGTAAAAGACTTACATGTACATGTATATTATAAGCCACTGTCCCTTCTACTCTGTGCTGAAATAAATGTGCTGTCTAATTCACCTGACCAGCCTAGGGACAGACCCTACAATGTTGAGCAAAACACTTCAACACTGTTGTATCAACTCAATCTTTATAAGTCAAGGACAAAGTTGTATTGATCAGCTTCCACAAGTGCCAATCAATAAAGCACTCAATGACATTCAAAACCTGCCAGAAGCTCCATAAAGGGAGAAATTACCGGTACAAAATACTTTGGTGTAGTGTGGAATAATACTGTAACATTGTGTATTGCAATAATTTACAAAAATTTGTAAAAAAAACTATGAAATGGGGGGTGAGTCAACATTTCTAACAAATGGCCCATGCACTCTTCTGCTTGTGCTGTCTAGAATGTATGTAACATTGAATACTGTCAGACTCTTAAGTTATTACCTTATGTTTCTCCTCGCTCTGTGGAAGGCATGTGGAAAAGATACAGACTTATGTGGCACTGTGCCTACATTGCATTTGTGTGTCATTATGCACAAACACTTATTTATCTATACAGTCATTCACTACATTCAAGCATATTTTGCAAAGCAACATGTGTGTAAACAGTGTAATCCAAATTTGTTACTGCATGTATTAATTATTATGCCATCTTTACAAATGATGTTTGTAAATTTGATGATTTGAATATTGTGCCATATTCTAGTTAACATTAATATTTGACTTTATTACTCTGAGTTTAAATTAGGTGTGTTAAGTGATCATCATACATGTGCATACATGCCCCATAGCAGTGAAGAGACACAATCATGCATGTAAAAGTCTGTGTTTACCTCACAGTCACAACCTTGAGGAAAGCATGACTGGGAACAGAAGACATGTTATCAAGTATTGCAGAATACTGTAGTCATAAGGATCAACCCAAAGCCTTAACAATTGCCGTATAAAGCAACCTCTTCCAGAAATCTGGAATTGTGGTGCTCTCCTTGGTGCTGAACTTGTCATCCATTGGAAGACTTAGTCTTGCAATTGGAAACAGCTGTTTTGAAGTACTAAAATGTGAAATATTCTCAGTGGTTTTATGTTTGGTGACAGTGACCTCTAATAGGGCACTCATCACACTGTGAGTGTATGGTCTGTCTTAACTGCATTACAATGAACTTTCCGCTCCTACCCTGAAATTAAGTCTCTACAAATTAAAATCAATTTACATTCCAATGGAAAACTAATATAATTTCTTTTTAAAAAGTGTCACACACATGCTGGGCTCTCCTTGGTGCTGAACATGCCTTTCATTAAAGGTTGGTTATCATAATATCAACAAAGATGTAGTTTCATAATCAGTTTTATGATAAACATGAACTCATTTAACATGGGCTGATAGCACACATGACGTGTGTGCAGAACAATCATTGAGTATTTTTGGATGAAGAGTAAAAATTTTACATCACCTTCAGCTGTTTGTCAAAATTACAGATATGTCTAAAAACACATACATTATGGAAAAAATGTAAAGTTTCATTTAGCCAACTCTTTTTGTTTATGTTTAACACAATTGACGCAGAACAATCTTACAGTCTTTTTCTGCACGTACAGTGCACATGAAACCTTTTCACTACAATGTGTGCAGTATGAAAACAAACAGGTGTTTCGTACCTCGCGAAGCTCCCTCCTCTGCACGGCATTGTCGTACTTTTCCAGAACCTGCGCAGACGTGCTTCTCGCCTCCTCCTCCACAACCTCCGACACGATCTCCGTATCAATCATCTGCTCCAGAATCACGTCAAACACAGCTTCTCTCACCTAGCAGGGCAATCATTGACACCATTACCATCGCTGATGACTGCAAATTGCATATAATGGTATAAATGCATTCATGAAGGATAGACATCCAGGTAAGAGAAGCCAAGGTAGCAGTACCTGTTACTCAGGCAACTGGGTGGATATACAAAAACAATGTAGTCACTGACAAAGGTTAGTGGATGCTACCTGAAGCATGCATCTGTCCATTTTCAAAATGTAGATCCAGTTGCTTGAGTACCTTAACTGTTATCTTCAAGTTGGTATTACCTGGATGTCTAACTTTCATCGATGCCTTTATACCATTACTGCTACTTACAGCCGTCACAAAGGTCGGAAAGGTAAGGTTAACTTACTATGATTATAGTTAATAGACCGTTCCTGATCGAATGCGTCAACCTCACCCCCTGTTCTCTTTTTAACCATTTTGTCAAAATCAACACAGGGAATCTAAAAGCAGCAAGATGAGTTGATGTACATGTATACTTGATAGAGTCTACTTGTATTACCAGTGAGGCAGAATTATGTGAATTTATGACACTGGATGGACTTTCAAATTAAGACGTTCTGTTACTAGCTAATATGCATGTGAACACAGGCAATTATTTCCCATGTTTGCGTGTTCATGTTTCTACATATGTCATAAAGACCTCCCCTGTGAGTGCCCAAGCTGTTTTTTGTCATTTTCTCCAGAGCATGCATACAATCTGTGACAAATGCAGAAAATGCAGTGGAAAATAGGTAGAAAAAGGTATAGTCCAGACTGGTAAACTACAGGAAGATGAAGCCAGGCAGCCTCCCACACTTCACACAGTAAATAAGGTTGGTACATTCTTCAGGCTTCTTTTGGGTTCAAACGAATAACATAATAATTATTGTGCTATCACTGCGTCATAATTGTGTTAAGAAAAGGCAGCAACTTAATTATGCAAGAGCGATTTAATTGTGGACTCCAGCCAATAACTCCCAAATGATTTGCCTGATTGAGTTGATATTTTTATTGAGTACCTATTAGAAAGTAATGAATATGCCAAAGGCATAAACAAGTCCCCTAGACAGTGACACTAGTCCATTTTTATATGATTATATGATCATGATTATTCTTGAATAAGTTAGAAGAGCGCATACAATTTTTTACTGCGTCTGTGCATATGTAGCTTTACCACCATTTCGGTTAAACATATACAGAGAGGATGAAAAGGTGAAAAAGAACAATTTTGAGTATTATTTTGTTCTTCCTTGCAGTTTGTCATTACAATGTCATTGCCTGTTCAACCACCATCATGGTATTTCTGAATCTATGAGACAGTGCATGGATCATGTTTTTTTTCTCTTCCACATGTAACATGTAACTTGTACATGTAACAGTCTTTGGAAGTTTCCAGACACCCAGTGTCATTTGAAAATATTTGTGTAATGATCTTGTTTTTCCATGTGGTAAAGCCACCTTTCTATGTAGTCAAAATTAAACTAAATGTCTGGCACTTGCTTGTTTGATGGAGCTGTTGGCCATCCTTTGTCCACTGGGACATCAATTACTTCTGAGGTCCTGACTTTTGTATTAGGTTTGTACAGTCAAACCTTTCAAGCCAACCATTTGGCAAAAACAACCACCTTCAGTCTTACATGTAAGCCACATCAAAACACTCCTGTCCATTACATACTTAGTTATATGTAGACCTTCTTTTCTGGTGCAGGCAACAAGCATTTTTCCTCAGTCCCAAGAGTGGATGTTGAGTTTGACTGTGCTTGTACTTGAGCATAGCTACATTCTAAGAAAATTTATGTTGTGCAAGAAAACAGATTAGGTAGAAGCATACAGTATTTTTTTACCACACAATGTAATGAAGCCCTGACCAGAAAGCGTTGTTACTTAATATATATGCAGATGAAAGGTTTTAGCTGGTGGACCAAGCTGTTTGATGCACAATTTAATTACAGAGCCGCTGTCAACCAGTTGACAGCAGTCTACCTGTAGTTTTCCATGAAGGAGGTGAGGGAGATTAAAGATGGGAGGTTTCCCGGGCAGGAGTAGGCAGTTTGACACACTGCCAGAGCTCACTTGATGAGACCCTTCAGTCAACTGGGAGCACACGTGAGCAGACTGATAGCAATTGTCACGACGGTTGTCATCTTGGCTCGGTGGCCTTCTTGAGCCACTGTGCACAGAATGCTTGTCTCTGAGTGTGCCTTTCTTCATCCTCCATCTGTGCTAGTCTTTGGAAGAACCGTCATCCCTCGGTTACATTTGGTGTTGTCGGCAGGATGTCGCTAGAACAGCGGTTGGAGACCGACAATGACAGTCACGTGACACAGCACGAGACGACGCAATGGACAGCGGGACCATTGGAGCAGGCAATGCAAGTAAGTGTGGTGTTGTGTAGACTGGGTAGGGAATGCTGTGCACACTCTACCTGATCACTATTTGACTATACATTGTCCAATTTCTTGGGATAGCTTTGTTTTGCTTAGATTGAAAAATGATATCATGGCTTTCCTTGTTAAGTTCCCTATTGGTGCATTGCACCCCCCTCCTTCTGAACACTTCTGAGCAATATATCATTGTTGTATTGAAACTTGGTAAATATTCCATGTTAAAAGATCATCTGAATGTGTGAATCAAATGTTAAAAGATCATCTGAATGAAAAATTTGTGTAAGTCTATTCCTACTAAACAGACACAGACTCGTGCTTACTATGTCAGGCATGAATTCTCCGATCACGTCCGTGGCCAGGTCCATCATCCAGTCGTACGCGGCGCCGCGGTATATGGTGTCTCCCACCATGTCTGATATGGCACCTCGTATAGCCTCCTCTGTCCCCTCCTGTACCACTTCTTCCATGAGGTCTTCTGAGACATCACGGATTAGTCGTGGATCAAAGGCTTTTTCAGCAAAGTACCTGTTTGGGAAACAACATAATTTTGAATGTCATCGGCTTATGGGAGGGATATATGTTGTTTTATTATATATCACTCAATACTACAGGTATACTGATATACATGTATAGGACTGAAATATTTTATTTCATGTCATGTATCTTCTTCTCCTCCTGCCATAATATTTGGTCAAATGGATTCAACTTTAAATTTTCATTTTTACTTCAAACCTGAAATTTGCCACATGCATAGTTAAGGCAAATACTCGCCAGAGATTCCATCTACTTTTTATCTCCAGGCTTTTAGAATTACTGTATTTTGGCAAGTTTTCCTTGCCATCTTTGCCATTTTCAGTGATGAGACCATGTTCTATTACCTGTCAACCAGTTCCCTGTTGGATTCCAGTACAACATCCCTGAGTTGTGGTTTGAGTTGTGAGTTGAGGAAGTCTTCTGTAACCCCGGCGGCCAGGTCTTCATGTGCTGCCGTCAGGCCATGAGATAATCGTGGAGAGTAGACCACAGGTGCCTTCCAAATAAGGAAAACACTTGTCAGTAAACCTAGCTCTTTATTCATGTTCTAGAATGATTAAGGTATTCATTACCACCTTCCAAACAAGGACAGTAGCTGCCAATAAAACTTCTAATAAAGAAGGAAAAGTTGTTTCAGGTTACGATTATCATAATTCATAAAACTTAACCTACCAGTCTGCACCATTTTCTTTGAAACATTTGTCAAATGTTTAACAATTAGCCTTTGGGCAAGAGCTTGCAATTATAAAGTTTAAAGCCTAAAAAAAAGTTGTTGCATGGTTGTTGCATGGTTGTCACCTGTGCGGGTTCGTTGCCGTGTTCAGACAACACCTCGATGAGAATGTCCGGCACCAACTCCTCCTCCATCATCTCCTGTACCAGAGAATCCACGTAGTTCTCCGCAAACCTGCGGTCTGAGTGGAAGTGAAAGGCTGCTGACATGCCCTGAGGAAAGAGGAGAACAAAACCAGGGAAGGCCAATAATTATCATTTATGAAAAAAATTGCTTTAAATGTAACAGTCTGTATTTCACTTTTCCCACTTTTTTAGTCTACAAAATGTACCTCGTAACACAGTTACTGCATTGAATATAGGTAATCCAGATACTGTTTCAAAGATCGCTGCAGTGCATACATTATAAGCCAGTGCCATTGACATTAGATTTGTAGAGATGTCCTTTGTGTAGTGTGACTACCATCCCTAAGGACGTCTTGTTGTCAAGATCACAAGCTAACTTGTGCTCTTTTATAGTAACTTATCAACAAATTACCAAGTTATTAACTAGCATCTGCCATTGCTCTGTGGGTCTGCTATAATATTTGTGATGTCATTGATAAAATCAAATGTTTCTTTTTTGTTTCTAATAAAAGAATACTTCAATTTTTCAAAAGGATCAACTTTTCCTAAAAACACTGTACTTGGTATTACAATGTTCGGTACTTAGAAATACTCATTATTGCCACTGTTTAATTACTTCACTTCACTACACAAATCCTATAAGGAAATTCGTATTATAGAAAAAATCACTCAATAATCATATTTAAATTATATTATGGTGTTACGAATAACAAAATAGAAATAAATTTCTGATGAAGGCAGACACCCACAGAAAAGTACATGTACGTATATAAACATGGAAACTTCAATGGCAGCACAAGTTAATAACGTGACCACTTGTGGACAAGTTACCGCTTTGGACGGGTCAGTTTTTAGGACGCTGATCAGGACGTCCGGAATGGCCTCGTCGTCCAAGAAGGTGTTGACGAAACTGACCACAAAATTCCTGAGTACGCGGTCATTGTGAAGTCTCTATGGAGGGAATGGTGCAGTGGGATGATTAACAGCATTAATTTAAAATAAAAGTTTTGCTCAGAATAGCAATAATAGCACACAAGAAGACAATGTCAGTAAATCTCATATGCATAGCAATTGTATCTGTTTCTATCTACACTTCTACAAAAACACTATAATCTGACAGTTGTTATGTACTACAACCTACCTATCTACTAGTCTGAAACTATTATGAAACCTGTGACAACTTTTAACATGACACCAACATTGCTGGAAGGAAAGCTCTGACATTTTCTTCTACACTTAGTTTTAAGGTTAGGATTTTAACAGCCATGGTTTAAATACAGTTAGATTACTCTTGTTATTGGCTGTTTTGCCACGACTAGCTGATACTACATGTATCTACTGAAAGCAGTACTTTGTTTAAGCTGAGCTGTACAATGTAAGGCCTATGAAGACTTTGTTCCTAGAAAGAGTAGACTACACTAGGATGGGGATTATGGCTTGGGAGTTACCGCAGTTGTCTCAGGGGCCAGTACATCTGTGAGTGCCTTAGGTATAAGACTTTCAGACAGGTATCCATCAATGTAGCCCTCTGCCATGTCATATGCAAACAGTTCATCCAGGGCAGATGTCTCAGGTTGGGAGGGCCCAGAGTCGCTTATTTCTCGTGAGGACGTGGTTTGTGTGTGAGAGGTGTTCTGTCGGGTCAACGGTTCAAGCTTCATGGTTTGTTTGCGAAACTTGACTGTCTTGTTTTTGCTGGGTTGTTTGTCAAGGTCAGTTACAAGGTCATGTCTTGTGTGGTCAACAGAAGGTCCCTAAATAATGATGGCAACAAGATACATGTACACAGGATTGGGAGAAAAGCCATATACCGGTAGGACAGAAAAGGCAGTATGAACATCTCAAAATGAAACCTGAAAAAAAGACAACCCTACCATGGCTTAAGAAGAAAAAGTTGGTTCCAAAAAATAATTTCAATAGGTAGAGATTTTCAGACTCAGATTTACACATATCCATTACAATGATGAAATAAGAAGTGATAAGTATTAATCTGTGCAATATTAATCAACAGTACTAGGCTATATCAGTTTATATTTACATGTATACAGAATATTTCAACAATCAGCCTTCATGATTACTTGTCCACCTTTCCTGAGTCTCCTCCTTCCAGTTGTGTAACTCAGATAACCAACATGGTATTTAGATGATACATAATTATATACATTAAGCTGTAATCACCTTCCTGGTGCTGTATCCCCTGAATGTCTTCTGGATGGCGGTTGCAGCTTGACCAGGATCTGCCAGGGGGCGCCTCACAACAGGGCTGTAGGACGGTTTGTGCTGGTCTGGATGGATGTACTGAAACAGGCAGCAATGAATCGTGTTTGGTTGTGGTCGTCTTTTGTATCTACACGTCTATGTGACAGTTAAGCGAGGAAGGAAATTTTCATTGCCTAAAATGGTTCAAACTTTTATCAAAACACCTCAATCAATTACTTGCCATTATGTAGGCCATATAGGACTTTTCAAGGTTTCACCACTAGTACTAGTACACACATACATCGTATAGGTCTACATTCACAATAATGTTGCATAGGATGACGGCATTTAATTTTCCTGCCCAAGATTTTGATTGCTGTTGTTGATATTTTTGCCATCATTGACAGCTTATGAATTATCAATGCCTTCACTTCATATTTACCTTCGCCAAGAAGGTTATGTTTTCAGGGGCGTTCGTGTATGTGTGTGTGTGTGTGTGTGTCTGTCTGTCTGTCTGTCTGTAAACACGATAACTTGAGAAGGCCTTGATGGATTGTCTTGATACTTGGTAGGTGGGTAGGTCTTGATGAGACCTCAAAATGATTAGATTTTGGACCCCCTAGCGGCTTGTTATGGTACTGCAGCTGAACTTCCGGTTTTGATATCTCATGATCTAGACATGCTACGGTGATGAAATTTAGGTGGTAGGTAGCTCTTGTGCTGGGAAAGAAGTGACGTGAGTTTAGGCCCCCTAGCGGCTTGCTCTGGAACTGCAGGGATAAATTCTTGAAAATATTCAAAAGGGGATAACTCAAGAACCGGTTGACGGATCGTCGTGATTTTTGGTATGTAGGTAGCTTACATGATGCTTAATATAATTATGTGACTATTATGCAAATATGGATGTAATTTGCATAATTTATGGGGAAATTCTATAAATCAGCTGCATTCCATGATAGGACAATTGAAGCTTGTGACATTGGTAATTGACAACGAGAGAAACACAGGAAGATGTTGATTATGCTAATAATGACTTAATTTGCATAATTAATGAGAAAATTTTACAATTATGTATTATGTATACAATTACAAAAATGCTAGAATGCATTCTTTGTTAATATAAGACTGTCTTTTGGTTGAGATTATGATAAAATGATATAATTCATGAAAATTAGGTTCCTATTTCTTAAATCAGGGGAGAATAATCTAATCTAAACTTTGTCAGTTATAAAGATTAACATCATTTGGCGAAGGTATGAGATCGGGGAACTCTAGTTTCCAATTGTATCATTTAATTATTAGCAACAGAGAAACTTTCAACAAAAGTATGTGGAATGGGCCATTTTTCTAATGTTTCTTAGAGGTTATATGTATTAGGTACTTTTTCCAGGAAAGTCTTCTTGTACATAAAAGAAATGATGCATTCCCTAAAAAGTGACATTTTAAGCCCTGTGAAGCCTATACCTCCTAAGGAGACAAAGGGGCATCTATTGAATTTGCGTGAAAGTACCAGTTAAGAATGATACATATGTTTCAATAAATTGCCTAAAATAGCTAAACCCTTCATTAAAAGATACAGTCCAAGGCTTAACTTGAGATTATGCAGAAGTTACCCGTTGTGCTGGGTTAATACTGTACGTTAATCTGACCTTACTGGTGTCTGGGGACATCGCTTCAGTTAAAATCTATGTTTAACACTGAAAGTAACCTGTGTGTCAACGGATAAAGCCCAGAATAATTATTCTACCAATTATAAGATCAGAAGCAGAAGCAGCTTAGCTTTCCAATAAGTACCTTATGACAGTACCAGTACTTTTAAGTAAAAATCAATCAGGGATGTCCACCAATCAGATGGCTTGTTGCAAGTTTAGTCCGGTGGATGTCCCCTGACCTACATTTTTACGAGTGACATCAAATGACCATAAGTATGGAGTGAAAACAAATTGAATGGATGATAATGGCCACTAATGGGCTTTGATTGATGTGGTCTTCAGAAGAACAAGCCATGTGTGGTAATGCAGAAATAAGATTCAGGCCATTTTCTTCCCCAAGGCATTGTTACATGCGACTGGGAGGGAAGTACAAAGACTCTGCTACTACATATTACATCAAGGCCTTCAGAAACGGATCATGATCACAGCTTAAGTGACCACGGTTTCTTATTCTTGTATTGTAGGTAATTTAAGCAAGATTTTTCATTATCAGTTAACTTCAGCTGTTCATGATGCAAGATTTAACAGCATCTATCTGGAAGATGCCCAAAATAAAACCCTCATAATTATGGATAGCTTACATTAAGTCACAGTTGAATAAACCAGGCTGGTACCTGCAATGAAGTGATGACAATCGATTCATTACTTTCACGTTGCCCAATTCACGTGTCCATTAAGAAGGAGTTTGATCCCCTATTGACATGGGGAAAATCCGCTTTAAAATTTGAAAAGTTGCAGGGAACGTGAGTGGATTTCCCGAACGTTCAGTTTGATGGTATCCATCAAATTAGCTTGCAGGAAAGGTAACTGTTGAGATTTACCTGCCGTAAAACTAAGCCTCCCGTGCAATTGTCTAAGGAATTCAACATGGACTTATCGGATCATCAAACAGATGCGTACAAATTCAAAGATACCTACAGTGTCTCGTCGCTCAGAGGCAATCACGACAGTTCGGATGTCGCGAGGAAGAGAAACAAGCTGAATGGCGCGCAGGCCAAGATGCAGGTACGTATTTGGGTATACTTAAATATACAGTAGCAGATAAGGTATTATACTGATTGCCACTCCTATGTATGCATAATATACATGTACAAGGAGAGAACGGTTATCATAAATTACCTTATGGAAAACTGTACGATTAGGGAGACATGGGACAAGATTGCAAGTTGAATTTGATTGAAGTTGAGTACAAACTAAGCCACGTTTGGGATAGTGTTCTCGCCGCAAAAGCGCCACCTACATCGGCTACATATAGCGGCGAGATGCAGTACTCCAGTCAGAAGCTCTGAAGAAGGTGTCTGATAGACACCGAAACGTCAGCGAGGTGAGACTCTTTGGTTGTGTAAAAAGAATTCCCCTATCTCTTAAGTTGAATTTGATTTTTGTAACAAACCAACATTGGCATGGTTGTGGCATACAGGTCTCAAGAATTTTGACATTGAAAGAAAGCTTTGGCAAGCTTACGAATGTAGACTTGGTAAAATATTAGGAATCATGTACCTAAGGACTAGTGTTGAGTATCATACCCGGGAAACTTACCTTATAAGTGTCCAATGCTGTATCGTACGGGTACAGCGAGGTACCCTGTTGAGGGGACGGTTTCCGATGTGTGTACAGGTCTGCAGTATCGTACAGCGCTTGCTTCGGTCGGAGGTAACCTACTTCCAACGGATCCATCCTCCCACCCCCTACCTGTGGATAGTTTGTCCTTTTATCTGTAAAATTGTTCGGGACGGGGGTGTAGTTCAACGATTCCTTCGCCTTGAATTTGGACAGTGCTCTCGCGTCCTGGACGGTATCGGACTCGTCTGCCTGGATCCCCCGCTCCTCGACGGTATGCGTGGCGGCGTCGCGGTGACTTCTGTGTGTCTCCGCCGCTCGCCGACTGCCGAGGTGCTTGACTCTTGTCTCGCCTTTTTCCTGTGGACGGTGTCTCGCCTTTGCCTTGGTTTTCCCTCTGTCCCGTCTCTTGGTTCTCTGGTGGTGAGGTTGGGGTTGGGGGTAGAAGGCCGGCATGGCGGGGTACACCATGGGCGGCTGGTAGTAACCGTAGGGGTACGGTTGGGGAGGGGCGGGGCCGTTGTGGTACGGGTACGCACGATCTTCATCGGACGATTCCCCACTGTCGTAACTGTCCTCATCTGACACAGGCCTACGGAAAATTTTTCAAGAAATATCAGTGTTATAAACTTGTATAACAGCATCATACAAGGGGCATTACGTGAGCACGTCGGCAGAACCTACTGCACCTGCGCAAAACCCGTGATGTATTGTACATAGCATTTTGGCAGAATGTCTCATATAAGGTTGTATTCGCTCATATAAGGTTAGCATTTCGACAGTAGTTTCCAAATGTTATGTCGGAAAGAATATCCTCTGCAACAGGCAAAATTCTGATGCAACGTTGACCAAAAATCCAACGAAAAACGCGAAAATACGGGGTTCTGCGCAGGCACAGTATGTTCTGCCGACGTGCTCATTACGTGTGTGTACATCTTGGGTAGAATTACATGTATGTGCAATATATATGTCAGGGTAGTGACTTTGATCTGGTATACCAATAGGAATTCCAATTAGAGTCTTTGTCAACAGAGACTCTATCTACATTGACATATATGACATTGTATATAAATTATATAATATGCTAACTCTATAAAATACATGTGTTCTCTTTTGTTACAATGACAGTCATCATTGTATTGAACACTTGATTAACGGCATCTACTTTTTCAGAATCTGAATTCCACAACTAGTTAGTAAAAGCATGCAAAATCAAGGGTCACGGCACTTGGACAAATTTGAACCGGGAGCACTCTACATTTAACAATGATAACGATAATAAAACTTGTGATTGAAGAGTTTATTCAATGCAATATACATGTACACTGGCTGCCACCTGTGTTGTCTACCATAATTATTTACCTTACATAATCTGAAAAGCTCCCAGAAAATTCAGACATTACTGACTTCTTATCCCTCATACTGATGAATTTGTACCTTCAGCAATCTTCTCATAAAAATGGCTTTAAAAGACTAATAGTATGTACTTTGCCATGAATATTGTATCCTTGTAATTCATATTGACTGTAGATAGGCTCTCAGCCTAACTCACCTTTGGAAAGCGTCCCTCTTCGGTTTTACCGGTGGAACGACTTTCCGCCTCCCTCTCCTGAGATCATCATCGCTGTAATACTCCGGAGGAGTACTTAATCTGAGATAAAGATGAGAAAACATGGGATAATAGCTCTGAACAGAGACTGAACAGGTATAACAGTTAGTTAAGAAAAACAGAAAACCGAGAAGGGTAGAGAAAACGGGTTGTCAAATTGTCTGTGAACAGAACCAATCACTGAGAGGGATCTAAGACAGCCTTTTCCATAAAAAGACAAAACATTTTGAATGACGTATGCACAATTACTCCCCAAATGCCCTTAGCTTGTGATCGTATGACAAATGCAATCAAGACAAAATTAATGAGTGTAGCTAATCCAAGACAAAAGTTGTAAGTTCCTAAAGGCCTATAAGGTGTTTGATTGCTGTACCTTAGTTGTGGTAGCTGTGGAGGTGTTCTCCTGCTAGGGTAGATGTGTTTGTGTTTGCCAGCTGACATGACTCTGGCTGGCCTACTGTCCTCCGGGTCCAAGGAGGCATTCGGCTTCCCTCCCAGCTCCTTATGCACACGGTTCAGCCTGTAGGACACAAAAAGGAATACATGAAACATCTCAGAAAAACCTGAACCGTACATGTTGTACATGACCAAAAGGGTTAAATGTAATCTATCCAACACGTACAACCCTCTGCTGCAATCACGTGTTTCCGACGTCACGTCCCGGAAGCTGCAGTCAAAGGGTCCAATCCCGTGAACAAGGCTGATGGAGTCAGTCGAAAATCTGGCGTAAGTCCCAATTTACTCCTGTTGGATAGAACGTTTAACCCTTTTGGTCATAATGAAGTTTACCAACACAGATGAACTTTCATGCTAAACCCTAAATCTTTACAATGTTCATGTGACCCTCCTGAACATTGTACAGTGCTTTCTCTCGGTTCTCTCATGCATCACTGTTTTTTTTTTAAGATCTTTATTATGTGTCTCTATTGTGTGCACTTGGGTTTAAGTACAATCCAATTCCTAAACTATTCTACAATTATCATGAATCTTAACTGCCAAGCTGGTGTAGCTGTGTAACACCAGCATCACTGAGGAATGCAGCAGTGTCTGGCTGTACATCACACCAAATGAGCAATATATGTCTACAGAATGTACATACTGGGACTGCAGGAAATGTGCATAAAATGTATCATTTAACTTAAGGTTGTTCTAAGGTTAATTGTTTTAAGGTGTTCATGTCTTTAAGGGGCAATATCCCATCTATGGTTTTCAAATGTTGTTTAGAATAACATGTCTTATGCTACAGAAAAAATTCTGATGCAACGTGTTGACCAAACATCCAATAGAAACCATGATGGGTTTGCACACTGGCATACCCGCTAGTACTTTCTGCCAACGTGCTCAACAAATGACTTGTCCCATTTTATCCATAATCCTATCTAATTATCAACTGGTTTTCAAAGGCCCCTGTCATACTTAATGACAACTGGTCACATTCTGTAACAGTCAATTCTGGATTGACAAGAATGTTAATATAATGAGTATATAACTTGGGCATCCATTGACATATAGCATGCATCAAGTTCTGTTTTCAGCTAGCCTACATTGTACATTAAGAGACTGTCAGATAGATAATAATCATATTAGTGACTGAGTCAGACAGTCTGTATAGACTGAGTGGGACTGAAAGGTTTTTTGTTGCCATTAGCATTTCTTTGTGTCTTTTGTATGATGGACTGAACAGGGTTAGGGGCAGTGCCTGAATATTAGATTCATAATTAAGTTGCTGGGAGGGATTTGACATGGTTGCCATGCATAAGGGACATTCTTATGTACGTCCAAGTGCTTTCAAGATTCAAAAGACTTCACGGTATCTGGACTCTGGTACAATTTCTACAATAACCATTAATTCTTTTGTCTGGCCCCTTAAGAAGCCAATAACTTATCTAGTAAGGGGGCTGCTAAAATATCCTTTTATTGTGATTAAAAGAGCTACACTGTAGCTAATTAATATAAGGGGCTACATCTATACCACTTCTTTTCTTTTTTATTTCAAGCCATGAAGCCCTGCAAAAGATATCTGCTACAATAAAACAATACCTCTATGAAGGAGCTGGACATCTTATACTTCATCTGTAGCCCAGGACAGAAAAAAATAGGAAAACATTGAAAAGACAAACAAAAACACGGAAAGAACTGCACACTGGATGCCCAGTGGACGACAGACAAGAGCCATGCCATTTGACACTGTGATAATCAACAATAGCCCTTCATGGTCTTTTTTTCAGCTCACTTGCATTCAATCAGTACAGGTATGTGACAACATAACACTCAGACTTACTGGTACTTAGTATGCAATTGACTAGGTTGTAGCTCTTTTTAACTTTCTTTTGTGCCTTATGATAGATTAAGCTGCAAATAAAAAAAGCTATGATCACAATGTTACTGCATCTGGTGCAACAGTTTCAAAATTGAGCTTCATTCTACTAGTTAACATTAGAAAAGCCTTAGTAGCCAAAAGTGAGTACATGTATTAGTATTTTGCTGTGGATATGAATCCAATGAATCGTTACTAATAATAATACCATTCAAGGTTGCCACTGAATTGTGTCAAATCCGATCATACACCAATTCAACACCGTAGCATCAGTCACTAAAGCCTACTGGGCCAAATCACCCCACAGTGTACTGTGTTTGTGGCTAAATCAATACCTCTGCTTTGAAGTGCAAAAGCAGAACTATAAAAACACCCCCCTTAACTGTAGGACCTGACAACAAAAAGCATCAATTTTGCAACTCTGGAATGGTAAAGAAACAAAACCTTGACTAGAGTTTAGCTTTTACAATACATGTTGCAATCTTCAAATGCGATGAAATTCTCTAACAAAATGCCTTTGCAATCTAAAGTTACATACTAAAAAGCAATATGTACGACAGCAATTCTAGTACAGTTCTGAATATTCTACGAGGCTTAAAATCTTAATTCTTAGCTAGACTGTGCGTCTAAAGTTTCATGCTACCAGTTATCTGATATCAATTATGAAAAAAAATCTGTAACTTACAAGACAGAAAAGATAAAGTCCTCTCCCTAAGCACAAAGCCTCTCTGCCATACAAGTTTGAATTATTCTACCATATCATAAGTGCCATAAATGGCCAAGCTCTGAATCCTGAGCTACAGCAGTACAGTTGTCACTGACAACAAAAAGGTGGCTACACATGCAATATATAAAGATGCATTTGTTGCTTTTGCACAATCTATAGTATAGAATCTGAAGAACTGATGCATTGTCTAAAAATTGACATATTGCAATATAGCGTGCTTTAGATTACAATGTACAACAATGTTAGAAATTTGTGTGAAGGTAGATCTGTCACAATTTCCACATCTCTACAGCTTGTACATGTCAGGATAAAAGGTGGCATTATAAATTATACTATATATATTGTTGATGCTTGGTCCCAGATGTAGTACTTTCCTTCCTGACTGCAGTGTTGCGTGACTTTTAGTGTTGTATGAAAGATTTAAGCCATCATGAATTCTTTATGGCATCTCAATCATTATCTATACATAAATACAAAAACCAGACCAGAAAAGATCATCGCTCCGCACAATCAGGACCAATTGTTTGCCAATTTCAATGCGCTTACGCCACAGAAAGGAGACTTCTAATTGGTGGTTTCCATGGGTGGGTACGGCGTGTGCGTGTCCCGTGTTTTGTCGGACCTATACCCGTCCTTTCTAGTCTTTGATGAATAATGCACGATGACAAATGGCTCCTCTTAAACTTTAATTTGATGCATGGTTACTAATCTTCTTATTCGTTTTGGATGGGTCACAACAGTTCAACTACCAGGGACATCTCAGATGTAACAATACTGGATACCTAATAGTATATTTTTCTTAAAAATGGAACAGGCAATAGGGGTGCTATTTTATATATGCCATAATTTAAAAGCATGTGCCTGATACAAGTGGTAATAGAATTTGCTATTATGTGGGAAATTTGGAATGACCACTGAGCATGTCAACAACAAGTTTGCCATCAAGAAGCCTAAGAGTGCCCTAGGCATTTTAGGATCAAATTTACTAAATCTCTGTATAAAGTCCTGGGGAATACTGTGTTATCCTTTTGCACTACATCTAGCTGCTCCCTTGTGTTGACCTAATTTACTAGCTATTAGGGTATTAGAGTGTCTTTCTTACTTATGAAAGTAGATTAGTCTCTTAGAATCGTTATATATTATTTATCGAGCAATAGTCCAACTTCCATTTATGTAAATTGTTACAAGCTGTCACACATTGTACATGCTACAATTGTCAGAATTTCTTCTTCTATGATATTTCAAATAAGTTAACTTACACATATTTGAAGAGAAAACAAGTTGTACATAGAAGGAAGACATGTCTAGTCAACAAACCTAACCTTTAGATATCTATGTATGCCAACCCTTAATTGTACTGCACCACACAGTAATGATCATAATGAGAATGGCATGTCCACACATCACTTGGGATTCAGTCTGATTTGTGACAATATGAATATGATAATGATAAAGAATATTACCTTAATCTGCCAACCCTATTGTAATTTGTGACCTTGGGTTTGCTTGGAGTGAAAACTCCTTGGAGTAAGGTGCTATTAATCAATTTTGGTCTATCTTGTCAGCACGTCAGCAAAACATGTCCCTAGTGCATGACAGGCAAGTCTTTCAACTTAATTCAAAAAGGCCACAGAAGCATATCATCAAACCAAGAAACCGATCTCTCATGATATCATCCAGTCATCATACATCTTCCCATGTTGGCATAGCTGACAGATCACATCTTACAGTATCCCTAGAAATATTTAGTGCTATCGTAGCACACATTTTAACCCGAGAACTGGAGGTAGAGAGACGTATGTGTGATTAAGGGGGAGGGGGGCATACGCACTCAAAAACTTACCCCTCTTGCAGTTGTGTCCAGTTCCTTTCTGGGTGGGCAGTCGTCATATTGCATCACATTGTTTCATCACAAAGCCAAACGTACAATAAAACATGTATAGCTCAGGAGATACTGTGCAGTCTTCTGTCAATACTACGGTCACGGTGTTTTTCCTGTCCCACCAAAACAAATTTGTCCGGCAAAGTCGCGACGCCGAGCCGTTGTCATGGCCCCTCGGCACGCCACAACCGCCGGAACATCATCAAGTTTTAATAGGAAACGGGGACTGCTGTCACGTTTTAAAACGCGGTTTAATAGCGAAGTCTTTTGGCTGTCAGTCCGTCCACGGCGACATCTCGGTCCCGGCAAATGACATTTGATCCAGTTTGAGGGAGGTACTTGAGTGTTGGGTTCCAAAACACAATATATCCGGAAAGTTTACTCACTAAGGGTGCTATCCCGGCAGACCTTTGGGCTGGTTCGTCCACTAGCAAAGATAGGGGTGCTAGGTTTACAAAATGCGTGTACAAATATGTTCTAAATTTTGTTTTTCTGTCGTCCAATCTTAGTTGGACCAACTCAGATATAGAATGATGATTATAGTTATATCTGTATGAGTGTAAAAGGTACAATACAGTGTCCGCTAATGTTCTTTTTACTTCCCCTCTACTTTCAACAGGCAATGGAATAGTCTGGTTTGCAACAGGTGTTTGCTGAACAGCTGAAGACACCTGCTTCTTTTGAACTGAAGGAACCCCCTTCTTCTGCTTCTGATAACGGAAGACTTTTTCACAGACGGGGTTCTGTTTTTGTGTTGTTTTGTATGTTTGAAATTTTGAGCAGTCGTTGTTAACATCATGCGTTGTATACTTTCCGGAGGTTTGGCCTCAATCTAATATCCTTTTCATATATTCTTTGAGAGACTTGGTAGCTATACGTATACATGTAACGTTACAAGCAAGTCGAGCCCTGCTTCCCTTCATCTGGGATCTTCGATTTTTTTCCTTTTGTTCTTTGTTCTCCGCCGCCCTTCAGGTACATGAAGAAACAGTGCAGTCAGAAACTTTTTTGTCAACGGGCGAAAGTTGATGAAAATTTGATGTATGTCAACTTATTTTTATTAGTACAGTACTTTAGTAGGACATTGTACTTGTCGCATGCAGGGTCGTGGCACATTGATATACTGTAAAGTTATATTCTTGTATGTACACATGTATATTAAATGCAGAGCTAAAATTATGGTTTGCTTCTGTATATAGCCCAAGTTCTGTATTTCAAACTTATGACGCATTTCAAGCGTAGGCAGGTTTGATGTTTAAAACACGACCTCTCACACTGCCTTTGTCCAACATCAGATAAGACACACTGTATTCGAAAGTTCTTGTATAAAATAGTTTGTAAAATAGAGTGGACATTTCAACACAATACTACTGAGTAATCGACCGAAAAAATAGTTTTACGAACGCTTTACGCGGGATCATCATCCTTTTCTCTCTCAAAATAATGTAGCCGACAGTTCCAAAAGTTGCTACCACAACCACGCAAGCTGTTGTACAGAGACTAATCATGTAAACGTTTCAGTGAAAGTCAGCTATAAGCTAATTCTAACCTAAATACTACTAGTATTCAGCCGGTGGAGTAGAAATATATGGTTATGCTATCAAATACCTCAAGCCTCCAGTTTGTTTAACACAGGAGGTCGGCCAGCGAACACAGGTTGCCCCTTTATCTCTCGGAAAATTAGATAACCAAGTTTCCCACCCACCACTACCACAACCACACAAGCTATGACTACTCCAGCGACGAGCCCGCCGTTGACTCCGGCTGTCTTCTCAAGTTAAATTTAACCTCGGCTTACTCCATGGCACAAGGGTAATAGCTGCCGCTGTCGTCGGTACAGAAGCGATCGTGTCGGCAGGCGCGGAGAAAGGCGTCCCAGTAGTCGGCGCGGATAGGCATGCCCTCCAGCTGCCACGCGTTGTGGCTCGGGTCCGACTCGTTGTAGATATGAGCCGGGTGTAAAAGTGTGTAAAACTCTCTCTCTCCCTCTCTCTCTCTCTCTCTCTCTCTCTCTCTCTCTCGCTCGCTCGCTCGCTCTCTCTCTCTCTCTCGCTTCCATGCTAGGAGGACGGGAATCTCACTATACGAGCCCAGTCTTTTTTTTTTGGTCTCTTCGATACACAAGTACTTTTGATACATCAGATAGTATAGATATTTATGGTTGGATGGATTTGGTAGTGATAGATGCACGGATAAACGGATAGATAAATAGATTGACAGATAAACCGATAAAGTGATTTCTGTAATACCTGCGTTAGGTTCGCATTCGTGCAGACAGGCCTCCTGCACGAAGAAGCGCTCACAGGCAGAGCTGAGGGGACCACATCGGTCCAAGCGCCGCTCCTTGCCTTACGATTCCTTGATCTTCTGTGCGGAGGACACGGTGTTCTGGTGACAACAGGAGTAGTCCTGCCAAGGATGACACTCTGTGAAGTTGTCTGGTTCTGGTCCCGGGGTGTCCTGTCAGAGAAAAGCACTGACAGTCAGATTTGGGTACTTGTATACCGGTAGCCGGTATAACCGCCCTTAATTCGGCAGCCAGCTTTGCAGGCACGCGGCTCGGCGGCGGCTGGCTTTACCGAACCACATGCTACACAATATATATAGCATTTGCACACCTAACTATAAAAATTCTAAAGCTATATAGTGAGGATGCTTCTTATGTACAATTTAAGGGGACAGTGAGTTCCACTCTGCGATAGTTCTAGGAAAAACCTCAATCCTTGGTTGATAACTCTGGTACATGAAGGCATGAGTATGCCTCCATGACTGTACTATGGCCCCAAATCTACTTACTACAATACGTGTTAGGGATCAGATATCATATCATCGCCTGCGTTAATGACTATACAAACCTTATGAAAGTACTCCAAGTGACAGTCATCAGCTGTTGGCCACCCGAGTCTCTCAGCCACTTTGTTATTTGGGTTCTCGGCTTCAAAGAACCACATGGTGAAGGCCAGGCTGAGGTTTGTCTCGTACGCGAACGAGTGGTCCCACATCTTCTCACACAGTTCCTTCCCGCTGGAGTAGATCTCACCGAACGTCCTACAGGCCGGTACCGGTACGTCTGCCGGCTGCACGGGCGCTGGTCCAGTCAGCACCAATAGGACGGTCAGGCTTAAGATGGCGACATCCATGGCGTCCACCTTATCAACTGTTCAATGATGTGTGAAAGACAAACAGCAATGTGTCGTACCTTGCTCTTGAGCTGAGCTTTAAAGGCACCCAATGCAATTTCAGGGCGGCAAAACTGGATTTTCAATGCCAAGTTTCTGCTCATTCTTCTTATGTAGCAAGTTTAATCAACCCTATCCCGTAGCATACTGATATCTGTGAGGCAAACATGCGACAACACTGACGGGAAACGGTTGCTTGTTTAGTATCATATAGGCCGGTTCTAGCTATTTATGGACGGTACCGTGTACCCACTAAACAAAGAGACGGCTCGTGTAGACTACTTGAAACGCTTCAAGTATAAAATGATGATGAAAATGTGCTATGAAATATGCAGTAAATGTCAATATCAGACAGAGTTCCTCATCCTTAATATGTTCTATTCTGCCACCCTGAAATTGGATTTGGATGTGCCCTGTGCAGTCTTGCAATTGAACTTATAAGTTAGCAGTTGAGAAATATCCGACGTCGGTACAAAATCAAAATATAAGATTACCTGCAGCTGGTTCCTTCAACAAGAAGCCAGGCGTTGTGAGTGGCAACAACAACTTTCCTGATCGTGCACTCTATTTGCTGACCTAGCTGTGACCGTACCTACCAGGTCAAGGTCATCCTAGTTAAGCATATCGAGGCCAAGACAATGGGACGCGTCAAAATAGCTGAGGAAGGGAATTAAGTGGTGGGAGGGGGATAATGAAAAAAAAAAACTGATTGATATAACTTATACAAAAAAATAGTCTAGGAAAACTGGTCAAGGCCAAATAAAAAAAACAGACCCCCGCTAAATATCGCAGAGTCCCTTGGACAAACACCATACCATTGACAACACTTCAAGGACAAAGTTCACGACAAGAGTTCCACGATCTCATACCTTCACCATATGATGTATCATAAAGGTTTCTCGTTGATTATGCAAACAAGGTCTTCATTTGTATGAATTATTATCAGTGGATGATAAACTTGTCCAAAGTTTGAAAAGTTGTTGGCAGTAGCATTTTCTCAACTATTATGCAAACATGACCCTATTTTACCCTACCCCATTTCCTACAATAACCTCTTTTTTAACACACAAGCCCATGGAGTTTGGTTAACATGCAGAATTTAATTGTTATGATCTTGATTTACGCTCTGTTTGTTCTTGTCTGTCTAAATCTACTGCACAAGCAAAACAGGCCATCTCTAGCTTTCTTTAAGTTCCATGACTGACTACTTGACCAATTTGGTACTCGTAGGAAGTAGTGAGTCATTTTACACGAGAAAGTTGGAGAGAAACATCCGAAAATTCGTTAAGTCTACTTCCCACCATATATTTGAAGAACAATTTAGCTTTTCCATAGTAACTTTTACCACCACGCGTTAATTCCCATTGATCTCGATTTGTTTTTTCAGCAAGGAATACCAAGGCCGAAGGTGATTCTTCGAAGGCCTTCGAGCGTCACACTAAATACGAAGACGACTGACGACATCCCAAAGAAGGACAAGAAAGAGAAACAGACGGTTTCTCGCTTGAGCAAACAGTTCTGCGACGCCACGACATGCCACGGCCTGAATCGTATCGGGTCGGCGCAGTCCACGGCCGCTCGGCTCATGTGGCTGGCGCTCGTGCTCACCGCGGCTGGCATGACCATTTGGCAAGGAAGCAGACTGGTCAAGAAGTACATGTCCTATCCCGTACAGGTCAAGGTCGGCATCGTCGTGAACAACAAACTCATATTCCCCTCGGTAACCGTCTGCAACCAAAACAGACTGAGGAAGTCGAGGCTGAACGGATCGCGTTTCCAGCCCCTCATAGAGATTGACGATGAAACTATAGGGTCGGTGGACTTCCTGGAGCTGCAGGGCCTAGATGAACCGCTAGATGGCGAAGATGTTGCTCCAACAAATGCCCCAACAACAAGTGCCCCAGATACGGCAAACAGATCCAGGAGATCGGCCCATTGGCTTGAAATGGAATCCATGAATCGACTGCATGAAAAGCGACGTCATATGGTAAAACGGAAAAACAGAGCTACGTCTACCTGCCCTACGGCGCCGGTGAGTGGGACAGACATAGTTTGCTTGGACGAAAAGTTCTTGATGGAGAATGCTTCCGAGGGCTGTGCTCAAATAGGCATGCAGTTGTGTTCGTACCACCAACTCCGAACGGCACACGCAAGAGGCATCCGCGACCCACTGCCGCTAGATCGAAGCGACTCCTGGCGATTCTTCAGTCGTCCCGGCTGGGATGTCACTCTGCAGAACGAATGCGGACCCCGCTATGAGAACGTCGTGGATGAATGTTACGATGGCATGTTCCCACACACATCTCGTGCTGGGACCGAAGGATTCCTCTACTGCTGTACCAAAGAGTACATCGTGACCGACGAAACCTTTACCGACCATCAAGGAGCAAAACAGGCTTGCGACGACCAAGGGTTTCAACTGTGCACGCCTCAACAACTCAAGAAGATCTTTACCGATGGGTTTCGGGGTGAGACATGGGGCTTCGTCAGCGATCCAACGAAAAAGGCCCACCTCAGCCCGTGTGGCTGCCGACCAAAGAAGATGTGCTACCAGCTCACGTACGGCTACGTGCCCAGGACAAACCGAAACATGCCTGCCTACTGCTGCCAGCAAACGTACGCGCTCCTAGAGGTGGATTCTCCTCAGCAAAATCGCGCTGAAGAAACCTGCTCGTCAAAGAACTTTCATTTATGCCCCATCCAACGGTTGGTAGATGTGCACAAAGCAGGCATCCAATCAGACAGATGGGGATGGGTGAAGCACCCCGGTAGGATTGCTCTCCTTGGTAAACCATGTGACGACCTCCAGAGCAACGACACGGAATGTTATCAACAACGTGTAACCCACTTGGACGACCAGACAAGTTCTAATCTTTCCCATTGCTGTTCACCTATGATTGCCATCTCGAATGACCGGTTCCAAGACGAAGAGGATGCATCAAACTCCTGTGATCGACAGGGCCTTCAGCTGTGCACCCTGCCTCAGCTGGTGACGGGTTATCGCAGAGGTACCCCGAGTGATGACTATGGTTGGGCCAGAGACGGCACCTACCAGGGCATCGTCACCAAGTGCAGCTCGGACGCGAACTGTTCCAACGCGAGAACGGTTCGTCCAGGCGACAGCTTCCCAGCCTATTGTTGCCAGTACGTCGAGGTTAAGATCACCATTCCACCAAGAACACAGTGTACCAACATGATCCGGGGCTGTAGCGAACCTCTCGGTATGGAAGATGGTCGAATCTCAAACCATCAGATCACTGCATCCTCCACTATGGGTAGAAACGGCACACTGCCCTACCAAGGTCGCTTGAATGGATGGGGTGCCTGGTGGGCCGATGTCATTTCAGATAGCAATCTGGGCAGCAATGAGTGGTTCCAAGTTGATTTACTAAAGCCGACGTATGTAACGGGACTGATGACGCAAGGGGTGAGGGGAGGCCTCATTATAACCTACAAGCTTTTCTACAGCAACGATTCTCATGGTCCTTGGATGGTGTACAGGGACAAGAGCAGTAACAGGGAAGAGTTATTCAAGGGCGTGACTCGAGTGGGTGAAACGAGCCACCAGCATTTTGCCTACCCGATCTTGACGAGGTACGTCAGATTAAAACCTCACTTCTTGTCCAACAAGTACGCCACCTTGCGGATGGAACTGGTCGGCTGCGATCCTGAGACGTGTGCGGACCCGAGGAGCACGGACGCGCGTGGCGTGGTGGACGTCTCCCTGGACTGCCAGGGACGGGACTGCTACGTGGGTAACGGGGAGAACTACCGAGGGACGAAACGGACCACGGAGTCTGGAAGAGGCTGTCAGCAATGGACGCGACACGACCCACACCCCCACTGCAACATCACCAGTGACACCTATCCAGGAGCGTGTCTGGTGTTAGACTATTGTCGCAACCCGGACGGCAGACCAGGTGGACCGTGGTGCTTCACTAAAGACCCGGACGTTCCATGGGAACCCTGCGGCGTGGGAAAATGCACGCTGCACGAGAACGAGGTCTTAGATAAAGCGGCATGGAGAGGGTACATTGAGAAATCGAACACGTCCGACAACAGTGACCTGTCAGAGATCCTTCCTCCGGCCACGCGCCAGGAGCTGCGGCAGCTGGGACATCAGAGGAACGACTTCATCCTGCAATGTAGCTTCGACAAACAGCCCTGCTCACCGGAGGACTTTATCACGTCACAAAACGCAAAGTAAGCCTCTTTTGCTTTTCTTATACCTTGATCTTACAAACAATCGGTATCTTAGAATCAATCAACTTTTTTGATAGTTGGTTCGTAGTGAATGTTTGGTTTCCAAGCTCTTTCCTGTTTATCACTCTAATCTATCGTTTCGCCTGTTTTTATAGGTACGGCAATTGCTTTACATTCAACAGCGGTCACAATGGGGTGGTTCGCACAACTACCAGGTCCGGAACTAGCTATGGTCTCAAACTTACCCTGAACGCCGAGTCAGCAGAATACCTGGGGCTCTTCGGACAGAGAGTGGGCGCTAGGGTCACTCTCCATCCGGTCAACTCCACGGCCTTCCCGGACACGGAGGGCATAGATGCTCCTCCGGGAACAGCCTCGTCCGTCTCCGTGAGGCAGGTCGTCATCACCCGCACGCCTTGGCCTTACGGACAGACGGACTGTACCAGCAACGACGACGACTACGGGTCGCTGTACAGCGGGAAGATCTACACCCTGCGGATGTGCGAGAACACCTGCCTGCAGTGCGCCATCATCAACCGGTGTCGCTGCGCCACGGACATGATCGACCTCACACGGAAGAAAGCCATCAGCGAGTGCTCCCCGCTGTTTCACAACTCCACGGTCCCCGTATGCAACATCGCTAAATCGCGAGTTCAAGCGTGCGTCAGGGGCTTATGGAAGCGTTTCCAGCGAGGGGAACTCGACTGCAAATGTAACCAGGCCTGCAGGGATGAAACATTCGACCTCAGCCTCTCGTCCTCCAAGTGGCCCTCCAATCAGTTCGTTCCTTACATCTTGAGGGACCTGCACATGATCCAAGACGTCCGGAGAAACAATCTTCCGCGGAACATGAAAGAGGTGAAGGACAATCTGGTCCGGGTCGAGATCTCATACAAGGAGTTAAACTACGAAAGCATATCGGAAGAATGGAACTACAAAGAAGAGAACCTCCTGGGCGATATGGGTGGTCTGCTGGGCTTTTACATTGGCGTGTCCATCATCACTATCTGTGAGTTCGTCGACTACGTGCTCGACTTGTTCGGACTTCTCTGCAGAAAGATCAAAAGAAGCCTAAAGAGGAAGAAGTGACAGACAAAAAAAACTTAGACTGTTGACAATGACACCAACTGAATCTGGCCTGGCATGCATTTCAATAGTTGCTGAAGATTTCAAATCATCGATAGGGTTTCAGCCGAATGCGTCCCCCACATTCCTAAATGGCCAAACTTGCCATTTCTCTCTCTTCTACTGTCTTTTTCCTACCTTTGCTATACCACTTCTGTGGACCAAACATCCTTCCAGAGGGCACCACGCCTTCGTTTTGGCACGAAAGTATCTTGAGCTAATACCCCTGGACTTCTTTTTTTTACATTGATTGAACTAAGCCTTGTTAACGATTTCATGGGTGAAAATAGGACCATGAAAATCACGATGTGGTTTGCCCTCTCTGGGGTGTATTCTGCTGAAACCCTATCGTATAAACCAAATGAAATCCAACGTACTCCTCTGGTGCAAAGTAGAAGATCACAGAAAGGTGAGTTTCCAAGTTAGGATCTTTCCAGACGACTGGGCATGATGGAATGGTATGGAGGCAAGTCAAAATTTGACAAACCTACGTACAGCTATTTCACCATACGTACACTTTTCAGATCACGCTATTGTCTTACAAGTTGCGGAGGAACATCTTTTGTCACCAGGACTGCCTTTCTCGAGTTGTATCTATTGTCACCCGTAAGATCGTTAAAATGGCGAAGTCAAAGAATGTGAAAAGTATGGGGGTATTGCTCAAGATGCTCTCGTGTCAAAAATCATTGCACAGAATTCTACCTTTAAGCACACCATGAAGCATGCGTAAAAGTTCTGTTTTCTCACTCGAGTGTATGGAAATTGCAACCTTTACGGATGCTTTAACGTGTGTTTAAAGATCGGATTCTGGACAGTGAATGACGCCCCCTTGCAGGGTGTTTGGTCCCAAGTTGCCGTTGGAGCAGCAACAGTTCATGATGCGATCAGTAGACGTCGCTACTACACGGCAATGAGATAGCGGTGCAGTTGTGAAGATGTGGGTTCTTCTTATTCTTTTGAGTCGTAATCTGTACATGTTGGACCACGTGAGCTTGATCTTATGGATGACAATGTTTTACCAAAAGCCACAGCAGTTCCACAGCAAGCTGCTATGTGGCTCTATCCTATACCACGTCTTCTCGACTCCAATATCTATCTGCCACCCAAAAATTAACACAAGTTTCCAGAACAAAAGATGTTCTTTAAAAAACTGGAAGTTCCGCTGCAGCACCAAGGAAAGCCACTGAGGCCTTAAAATAAACCTTGCCCTTCGTCTTCTCAATACCTATTGGCATGCTAAATATCATCACAATCCATCCGTACCTTTCTGAGTTATGCTGGCCAAATTATAAAGGTAGCTCGGAATCAAAGACAGATACACGCAGGTATGCATTCACACTGAAACAATTACATCATTCGTGGAGGTAGTAGGTAAAGAAAAAAAGGAAAAGTATACGAATTACAGCATCTATGTAGCTATGTAAGCTGAGTTAGCTACGTCATCCTTAAGACTAAGGCTGTGTGACCAAATTATGTCGATCGTGATGTCATTAAACATTAGATAGCCGTCAGTGTACCATGCATCGTACGTCAACCATTGTATATGTCTGCTTTGACCCCCTGCCACGCATAGCCTACCATGGCCTCTCGACATTCCACAAACCATGGTTGGTCGGGAGCATGGTTGGAAGTCGGCGAGGTAGATTAGAAGTTTTCTACGACCGCCTAGTATGGATTCTGAAAAATTTAAGTCTGGAAAGGTATATTCTTGTTACTTGGATGCGATCAGAACAGCAAACTGGACCTAGTGTGGCTGGATTCTAGGCTACTTCCGACCTACCGCCGAGCAAAGTAGTGAGAAAGTCCCGAATGTGTGGACAGGGCCGGCTTTATGCTGGTTTGTCAGTAGGTTAGTTTGTTTTTGGACAGGGTAACTCTATGGATTATGAATGTATTCTGATGATTTAATGTGGAAAGGTAAAAAGGAGAATTTGAAGTTTCATATCCGAAACAAGCAATTGAGAATATATAGAATATTGTGATTTGACTTGAAGAACGGCTTCATACGTTCATGACAACCAGGGACTGAAACACGAAACCGATGTACAGGGGTCAGTTGTTAGCATACTAGTCCAGAGAAATCACTCTGTCCACAGACAAGAAAAAAATAATAATGATGGTAAATTGTAAGAACTGAGATCGTGAGAGTCATTTTACGTGAATGCTATACTTGATACGTGTTGATGGCTGTTGTATCTGTATGATATGAGTTGTATATTTGTCCCTCCGACTGTTGCTCACACTGTCGTATATCTGTACATTTGTTATATATCACCATAACGAACATTTTTCACGTCACGTTTAGTGATAGAGTTTTGCACATTTCTGAGCACTTTTTTGTTATTATTGATATGATATACATTCTACTTGTCAATAGCACGCCGGGAGAACGTACTGCGCCTACGAGAAACTACGGTTTCTGTTGCATGTTTGGCCAACGCTTCATCAGAATTGTCTGAGATCTTAAATTCCGCCACATCATGTTGGAAACTACAGACGGGATAACATCTTTAACTCCGCGATCATGACATTTAACGACTCGTTCTGTAGAAGTGACTAACTAGTTTGCACATTACGTTCTGTCGATGTGCTCAAAATAGGATGTTTGCACTCACGTGACATGTCAACCAGCCAGTATGGCTGACGTATAAAGAAACGGCGTTATTATGCGAGGAAGATTCTAAATGATTATTTTTATAGCTCCAGACTATGAATGATTCATTTCTAATGACCATAACGTTATTGCCTTCTAAATGAGCAGGTAACACGAAGCTGGTGTGTTACGCCGAAAGGCTGTCATACCGGCTATACAGATGCAGATACAGAAAAGTCGCCATCTTTTTCTAATCGCGTGCAAACATCCTATTTCATACAAGCAGGGAGGTATAGAATACGGATTCTAAAACTCCTTGAATTAATCTAGTTTTAGTCTACTGTGTGTGAAAAGAAACATATTCGCTTCTAATTAAAGAAGGCTTGTAATGTGTCTACGTATGACGTATTATTTACCAACCACAACGGTAAGGCCGACCTTCTAACCGGAATATACTAAGTAGTTGAAATAACTGTTCTGCAATCTAATTACGGAATCCAAAACGTTGGGATGAAAGTATTGAGATGTCTCTTCGGTAGCCAATGTTCTGACATGATTTTGGTTTAGATAATGACTAAATATTGATTGGATCTCCCAGTAAGATATGTTGAGTGCACTCGATGTGTTTTGAGGGGGGGTGAATGTGGCTTAGAATTTACCTATAATATCACAACCTAGTGCGTCTAATCACATAAAATGAGCGAAACGTAATGTTATTTCATTTATCCATTTCATTTATCCATTTTCCCTATGGGACAACATTGTGACAAACAAATTGTCGAAGACCACTAAGACTTGTACTCGTACACCACTAAAACGTCCTTAAGGACCTATGGATCGAGAAGAAAAGTAAATCTTTAGAAATCTCTATCATAAGGAAGATGATTCACCCCCCCCCCTCACAGCGGGGTCATCAATAGCCGGCTGCATTTGTTCGTTAATCCGGCTGCCTTTGCCGCTCATCCCTGCGTAATCTCCCCACATCTTCGACGATCCCCTTCTGTAAGTCTGTTAAACACAATAAAACCTTCGTGCAGTGATGCATTGAAAGATCCCTTATCGTCTTTTACAACGGATGAAGTGACCGACTCATTGACCTTTATGTCCGAAATCTGCCCAAGCCGTATCTTACTTCTAATCCGCTTTCCAAATTACATCTGCTTGACGTGCCTTTAAGGTTATTCGGCTGTTCATTCCGTACTCACCTCATTACATGGTGGAGGTTAACCGTATGAAATTTGTGCGAGAAAGACCAATATTACCAGACGTTGCATCATCACTGTATACAAGTATTTACTTTCAGACTGTCTTAAATCTCCGTTTCCAAGCGTTGTCACTGGCAACTACAAAAAACAAGAGATTTTGGAATCCATTCCGGATGTACGCCTCCCGTTATTACCGGAATCTTCTTATTTCACCAGGATCGGTTCTGGGAAGAAGATAAGACTTAATGACGATGAAACAAATCCTCTGGCTTAATTGAGTTCACACCTGATTCAGAATTGTCGTTTTCGTCGTATCGAGAGGACTTACCGTCGTGCAGCTCTTGGACGGAACAGTTTTAGTTTTTCCGTTTTGTTTTCATGGCTGAAAATGTTTTCCAGTGTTCACCCGATAAAACTGGGCCCCGATGTGAAGGTAAGGATATCGCAGTTGTTTGGAACAATTCGGTATGTACTATGTAAATAGTGCCATTAGACTACATGCTGTAATGACGATTGTGACTGCTCGCTGCAAACATTAGAGGTATTCTGTGCAGCAAACCTCATTAAAAGCACCCAGCACACAATCTTTCTTTAAAGACTCAGGTAAAGTATTTAACGAAATTTGCTTACTTTCAGTGTATTATCTGCACACAAAAGTACAATTCACTGGGTCCATAGACTCTTTAATAACATAATAAATGCGGTTCTACTGCTTTTTCTTAACATAGGCAGACAAGAAGGGTCCCAGGAAGATATTCGTCATCCCAGTCGCCACCAACAAAAATGAGAAGGAGGAGATGGCGCGGAACTTGACGATTCCGCAGTTGTCCAAGAAGTTCTGCAGCGCCACTACATGCCACGGTCTCAACCGCATCGCCCAGGCACAGTCCCCGGTCGCCCGCTTCATCTGGCTGAGCCTGGTGCTCACCTCGCTGACGCTGTTCGTACTCCAGGCCAACCTACTCATCACCAAGTACTTGGCCTATCCGGTACAGATCAACGTCAACATTGTCGTCAATCACAAGCTCCCGTTCCCGTCCGTGACGATCTGCAACCAGAACAGAATGAAGAAATCGACACTGAACGGAACGCGCTTCGCCCCGCTGGCGGACATCGACGAAGAAACTGTCGGCACGGTGGCGTATCTGGGGAAGGATGCAAGTACGGTGAGCCGTCAGAGAGGGGGATCGAGTGAGTACACAGGGCGGAAGAAGAGGGAAATCCCAGCAGAAGATCCCCACAGCCTTCGCGGAGACAGGCCCGTTGTTGTTCGAAAACGCCGAGCGTCGTTATCGTCGCCAGGGTGCCCCAGCGACCCTGGGAACCCGTATGGAATCGTTTGTCTTGACGTCAAGTTCTCCATGGTAAACGCCACTAAGGGATGCGCTGCCATCGGCATGCAGCTGTGCACGTATGACCAACTACGGAAGGCGCATGCCATGGGCGTCCGAGACCCATTGACGAGCGACGACAACGACGGTTGGCGGTTCTTCAGCCGCCCGGACTGGGACGTGACGTTGCAGGACGACTGCGGGCCGCGTTACGAGAAAGTCGTGGACGAGTGTTACGAGGGGATGTTTCCTCACACACCTCGGCCAGCCACGCATGGATTCCTGTACTGTTGTACTAGAGAAATGGTCCGAACTACAGAAGAATACAACACACATGAAGAAGCCAAGCAAGCCTGTGAAAACCAACAATTTCAGCTGTGCACCCTAAAGCAAATGACGAACGCTTATGACAATGGTATTCGAGACGAGAACTGGGGCTTCATCAGCCCATCAGACAAGCAGGCCCAACTCGCACCATGCGGGTGCCGACCTGACAACGAATGTTACCAGTTGGCGTTCTCCTACATCCAGCGTCAAAGCACTACCCTCCCGGCGTATTGCTGCAAACGAACGTACCAGATGCGAAACGACTACTTTGGTCAAGAAGGGGCGGAGAGGGGATGCTCTTCAATCGGATACGAACTGTGCAGTCTGAAGCAGCTTGCAGCAGTTCACGACATGGGCTCACGTTCTGTCGCTTGGGGATGGGTGAAAGAAGAGCGGACAATTTCTCGGCTTCATGGGATCTGTGCGGAAGGAAATGGCGTCCACTGCTACGAGCAGGCTCTGCAGTACACGACTGCTACTCCAGGAGGACTCTATGGGCTACACTGCTGTACCCCCACCTTCCTAGCGACCACTCAGTCTTTCATCAGCTACGACAACGCGGCGGGCACATGTAGCAGGGATGGCAAGCAGATCTGTACATTGGCTCAGCTGGCAGAAGAGTATCAGAATGGAGTTCAAACTAACACCTGGGGGTGGGCTGAGGGTCAGATGCAGGCCGTCGTTGGCGAGTGCGACTCTACCCTTGACTGCTTCAACAACGTCACCAACGCTATCCCGTACGTGACAGCGGACGGGTCGGCCAAGCAAGCCTACTGTTGCGAGTATGTCCGAGTTTGGCCGGAACTCCCTCCTCGGACCCAATGCACCAACCGATTCAAAGGGTGCAACAATCCTCTTGGGATGGAGAACGGTGTCATCAAAGACTACCAGATCACGGCTTCATCTACGGACGGACGGAACGGGACTCAGGCGCACTACGGCCGCTTGAACGGGTGGGCGGCGTGGTGGTCCAACGGTGTCCCACAGGGGGTCCTAGGGATCGACGAGTGGTTCCAAGTGGACCTACTGAAGCCGATGTACGTCACAGGCATCATCACCCAAGGACTGGCAAGAGCATTTATCTTAACATTCAAGATTCGCTACTCTAACGACACGGGCGGACCGTGGTTCGTGTACACCGATCCGTATGGAGGCCGTGACGAGTTGTTCAAAGGCGTCTCCGCAGAAGACCAAACAAGCCATCAACACTTTGCCTTCCCCATTCTTGCCAGATACATCAGGTTCATGCCGTGGTTCCTGTCAGAGTTTATCTCACTGAAGATGGAACTTGTCGGCTGTGACCCCGAGACTTGCTCGGACCCGAAGAGCACGGACGGGCGCGGCGTGGTGAACGTGGCTCTGGACTGTCAGGAGAGGGAGTGTTACATGGGAAAGGGAGAGAACTACCGAGGCATAAAGAAAACGACTGAATCGGGACGCAGTTGTCAGAACTGGGACCGACACTACCCACATCAGCACTGCAACATCACCGGGGATACCTACTCTGGAGCTTGTCTGGCGAAAAACTACTGCCGCAACCCGGACGGCAGACCCGGCGGACCGTGGTGTTTCACAGTCGACCCCGTCATCACCTGGGAGTACTGCGGGGTCGAGAAATGCACGGAGGGAGACGACATCGTGCTGGACAAGACGGCGTGGAGAGAGTACATCGAGCGGACCAACACATCCGACTACAACGACCTGTCCGATCTTCTTCCCCGAGCCACCCGCGACGAGCTGAGGCAGCTTGGGCACCAGAGGGACGACTTCATCCTGCAGTGTAGCTTCGACAAACAGCCCTGCACTCCTGAAGACTTCACGTCTACCCAGACTGAGAGGTAGGTGCTCTTATAACCTAATTATGGGAATCTATATGTTGAATCTGGAATAATGCAGCAACGCAGTATTATGGCCACGCGCTACATACTATTGATACAAAGTAAAAGCTTACATTAACTGGGAAAGAAATTGAAATCGGATAGCAGGCTTTAATTTGAACAAATGTATTTGTGCCTAACGCAGACTAGTAAAACTCTTGCTCTTTTTATCTATCATGTTATTTTATTTATCAATCTTCTCAGATTTAAAAACAAATCAGATTCGGTGACAGAAACAAACTGGTTTCTTTACAAGACCGGCTCCTCTGCATACATAGGAATAGATCACCAAAATATGTCATGAATACAGACATGGATATTGAGGAAGGCATGCAGATTAGATAACAAATTATCTTCTTTATATGTTCATCTGTAAATCTAGTAACTCATCCCAACTATTCCACAGGTATGGCAACTGTTTCACGTTCAACTCCGGTCGCGATGGCAAAGAATGGGTGACCACGAGGTCCGGCTCAAGCTACGGTCTGAAACTCACCCTCAACCTTGAGACGGCAGAGTACCTCGGGCTGTTCGGCAACAAAGCCGGCGCCAGGGTCAGCATCCACCCCGTCAACTCCACACCCTTCCCTGACACTGACGGCGTGGACATCCCTCCCGGCATGGCCACGTCCATATCGGTCCGGTCCCTGGTCATCACGAGGACGCCGTTCCCTTACGGCGGCGGGGACTGCACGGCCAACGTGGACGAGACCGTGTCGCTGTACGAGGGGAACAAGTACTCCTTTCGCTTGTGTGAGAACAGTTGCTATCAGTGTCAGGTCATGCAGAACTGCAGCTGTACCACGGACTTGATCGATTTAAGCAAGGTGGAGGCAATCCGAAAGTGCAACGACCGGTTCCGGGACGCCCCCGTTCCCATCTGCGACCTGGCCAACCCCCGGGTCCAGGCCTGCGTCAGGAGCCAGTGGAAGCGCTTCGAAAGCGGGGAGATGAACTGCACCTGCAACCAGGCCTGTCGCGACGACGCCTACGAGCTGAGCATCTCCTCCGCGGTCTGGCCGTCTCGCCAGTTCCAACCGTACATCCTCAGAGATCTGCACATGATCCAGCATTTGAACAGGCGGAATCTTCCCCGGTCCTACGAGGATGTGCGCGACAACTTGGTCCGCGTCGAGGTGTACTACGAGGAACTGAACTACCAGAGCATCAGCGAAGAGTGGAACTACAAGGAGGAGGATTTCCTCAGCGATCTCGGTGGTCTTCTCGGACTGTACATTGGTATTTCCTTCATAACGCTATGCGAGATCATCGACTTTCTTCTTGATATGATAAAGCTACTGATGAAGAAATGCTTAGTGTTGAGAATGAAATGGCAATGGCGCCAGTTACAACAGGCTGTGGACGAAAGTAAAGTAAACGGATGAGATAATGTATGTTTCAAAAAGTAGTGTACGGTGAATCTGTTTTCATCGCCTGCTTGATCTGTGTAGAATCTGATGTAGAAACAAAGAACATGTCAAGGAACGAAGATATATACCACGTTATGCTGGCCAGGCCCCATTGTATGTTGTCGTATTTCCGTTTCAGGTACATGTGTAATACGTATAGCTCTCTCTCTCTCTCTCTCTCTCTCTCTCTCTCTCTCTCTCTCTCTCTCTCTCTACTNTATATATATATATATATATATATATATATATATATATATATATAT